CCTCGACTGTCGTGGCTTCCATTGAGAGAACGAAAGACCTTCGAGACGACTTTCCTGAAACATCAAAGTTATTCCTGTCTACGAAGAAGCCCCACAAACAGGTCTCTTTTGATACCATCAGCAGATGGGTTAAGAAAATCTTACAGGACAATGGCATAGATACCTGCATTTTCGGTGCTCACTCGACCAAAGGAGCCGCAACATCTAAAGCTAAAACCCTTGGAATAGATATCGATACCATCAGGCGTACGGCTGGCTGGACTGCTAATTCCCAGTCTTTCGCAAAATTCAACGATCGACCAATTCTACGATCGGATCCTATAGACTTCGCCACGGCTCTCTTGGAGGATTACAGCATTTAGTTGATACTATGCATCCTACTCTGCGTACTTCATTATAATTACATTTTATTTGGTCTATTTTTTCTTTCAAGCTTTGTATCTTAAGATTAATCATACCTATGTTTATTCTAAATGTAAAATCAAGAGGTAATGTTAATGTAGCGTTAATGTAGCGTTAATTTCTTTATTACAAATCAATAACTTTAGATATTTAGTTATCTCCTTTTTACTTTTCATAATTTTTAATTAATTGTATAATTTATCATTTCACTAAACTACTACATAGTAATATCGAGAACTAGATGTAATATAATTTGATAATCAAACGAACTTACCTGTATGTAAAGTTTAATTCTAACTATATACGTCGCTTCGGACATTTGTATATACGTCGTTTTAGACGTGTGTGTATATATATCAGATGTAGGACTCGCTCAGGTAACGAAAAAAATATAAAACGGGCGTCACTGACGCGCAAATCGCCACACAGACGTAGGTTAGCAAAAAAAAGACTGATCAGGTTGCAATATTAGGGGAGGCGTCGCTTAAGACGCGCATATCGCCAAACAAGCGTAGATTAGCAACATTTTTCCATGAACAAAATGTTAAAACGTAATGTATGGACATGACATCGTTCAAGGTGCGCAACCCTGCATCACAACAAACAACATCAATGCCTAATGTCGTCTCCAATATGGCATCCTTTGACCCTCACTCTTATCCGCAATAATCCCATCCTCCGGTAGCAAGCCGACAGATGAGGCAGTTGGGGTTTCCGACGAGGAAGATTCACCATCCGAGGTATGTGGATTGCGATCGAACAATGGCGGAAGTGTTTCCAATTGGGATTTCAATCTCTTGAATTCCTCTTGAAATTCCAACCATTTCTCATAATCGCCCGGTCCAATCTTCCTCTTGGGCATTATCTTTTTTTTTTTTATTTATAGACGAAAATTTGAGGAAAAAACGAAAAAAATTTTGTGCCGATCACGGAGAAAAGTTGACATCCGCGCACAAAGAAACGATATAAAGCTTAGATGGCAGTCCGGCTGTGCAGGAGGGGGGACGGACGGGCGCACAAACATGCCCAAAGCAATTTTTTACGTTGTGACATCTCGCGGCTACTGAGCCGAACTACATAGTAATATCGAGAACTAGATGTAATATAATCGAAAACAATCGGATAATCAATTAATCGGCGGAAACATTACAATAATTATAATTTATCCAGTGTTTATTAAATAACGAAATTTATCGAAACCAACTATTATTATTTTCAATTTTCTACTATACAATAATGAAATTGATCATGGACTCAATTAATTACAATAATTTTTTTCATGGAACTTTTATTTGTTGAGTTTGAGTAAAATGAAAAAGACTAGGTGCACAACTTAAGTGACATACACAAATTGATAATCCCAATATGATGATGTACAACACGTGATAAGCTCAATCACAGGTTTTTGTATAATTTTCATCAAGATTCATCTTGCCTTTTTGTTTTTCAGTTTTGTTAGTGAATATCGTATTATCCAGATATTTCAATATTTTCATTGTTTCCAGTGACTTGATCCTCATCGTAGTCGTTGAAAAAATTCATTAGTAAAATAAAACTCGTTGAAGCTTGATGTATATTAAATTCAGTTAAATTATATTCAAAATACCATAATAAAATAAATATTTTGTTTACTTACTACTTCTTAAACTAGAAATGATCAAATAATTTATTATATTAAAAATAAAACCAAAATTATAATCGCACATAATTAATTGAATAATTAATCGAATATCATTGATTTTTCAATGTCACCGTTGGTATTAAATTGACTAGTCTTCCATATCTAAAAAATTCATAATAATTTTTGTCGCGTACGCGTAATTTTACTTTGATTTTGAGTTAAAAATGAATCGAGCTACGATTAATCGGTGGCTCAGATAATCGATAATCTATTATGTACGAAAATTATCGGACGATTATGAAACATCGATTAAAATCGCCCATCACTAATGAGAAGAGGAGCCGTTTTAGCGTGATCATGTTCAATTCGAGTTGAACTCGCTTGCTCGCCTTTATAAATGGTACAAAACGTAAGTTATTACATTTCAGTCATTTAGAGCTATATCTAACTCTTGAAAACAATCTCTACTAAAATGTTTTTTCAATAAATTGTCGTTTTTTTTTATTTCTTTCAAAAAAAATGACAGGTTTATGTGTACTACAATTAAAAATTAATCTCAATTGTATGATAGCAAATTTACAGGAGAATTCGGATATTACCGTAATATAAAACAATGTCGATGTTAATAATCCTAACCTCTATGAAATCTTGTACAGTGGATTTAGCTAACATTTGAAATTTATTAATTATCAAATTACATGTTAAATTTTGTTTTTATGCGAACTTCTACACTATTAAAAATATTATCGTAAAAAATCATATTCCAACACTATCAGCGAGGTCTCTAATTGTCAATTGACAATTTTCAAGCACCAAATCTGATTTTTTGGACGTATCCCTCATCGGTAGACGTCAATGGTGGATGGTCGTCCAAAGCGTGGTTCTTTTGTACCATAGTGTCATCACCAAAGACCTTCCGCAACATTTTCAACGTGCCGGCACAAGAATATTCGTTCCGCAAGCAAAATTTAATGCAAGTTCTTTGCTCAATAAATTCATCCATTGTAAAAATCGAAAAATTCACTGTTGGTTGTTTACAAAAACACGTGTAACTTGAAGATAATTAAACCCTTTGACAAACAGACGCTTGGCAAATATTAAAGACTGTTCTACCAACCTAGGAAAAAGAAATTACCTGCCTTCCTAATGCCCGGGAGTTTTAAATGACAATTTCACGTTACTTTTTTATCTCAGTAGTATAATAATAAAAATACATAATGTATGCAAAACTGACGGTCAGTAAACAGCAATATAATAGTGAAGTGGTAAAATGAGGAATAAATTAGATTTCAATCAAATGCGGAGTAGGTTGACCAGAACTAACAAACACATAAATTATAATTGTAAATTAATATGAAATTACAGTTGAACTAATAGTTAAATAAAATAAAATCATTTAACTGTAAAAACAATATTGAGACTGGAAAAGTTGTCAATATATTAAACTGTCAATTGAAAGACACACGTGATCGATCGCTCGCGTTAACATGCGAATGCAAGGAAGACGTCGGTGGCGGCGACACTCTGAAACGAAATATACAATGTTACACACACATATATATATATATATAGGGATAGGATTGATACGGGGGCGGTGAAGGTGACGTCTCTCTCTCTTTCTCTCTTTATCTTTTACGCTTTGGTCGAGGGAGGGGGTGCAGCGGCAGTCCTGTGAGATGTGATCACGTGACCCGCCCTGAGCGTGTATATGTATTCTCACTAGCAAGCAGTTATTTTTTCAGGCATGATGGCGCCAAACGCCACAATTCACATTATCAATGTAAATATACGGCGACAAGTCGAGCACGCGTCAGGTGCACTTCAGTCAGCACAGCCATGTACCCCAGCTCGGCGCTCTCCCTAACTACTCACAAACAGACTACGAGCTGGGGCACTTACCAAAAGTAAGTATAATATACACGTGAAACAATGTCGCCCTCTAGCCGCGACCATCTCTTTCTCTCATCTCTCTTGCTCTCTTTTATTACGCCTCGCAACTCCACCTGCGCGCTACTCGCAAATTCCGCGCGCAACGGAGAAAGACTACCAAAGAGAGAGAGGGAAAGAGGGAGGGAGAGCGTTCGACGAGCGTGTGTGTGTGCATATGCGATCGACCTCATCGTAAATCATTGCGCATACGTTTTCTTCAATAGCAGTAGCAACGACAGACAATAAAAGAGTGGGTTCGAAGGGCAGTTGAAAAACGCAGGGATGCCCCGCGCTACGAAAGACACAGTGTCCTTTTCTCACGCGCATAGATAGCGCAAGAAGCTGTGAGTTTGGCTGTACGCGCAAGACAGAGAAAGAACGAAAATAGATGTACGTGCGTCGCACGTGTCCTCTCGCCGGAAAGCGGCCGCTAGCCAGAGTACTGAAGGAAGCAAGTGGAACGTAAAAAAGAAAACACTTGCTGCATGCGGTCCACCACGTTATTCTCTAGTACATAGTATTGCCGAAAGACCCCTCCTGCTCTACCGCGGGGCCTCGTCATCCCCTGCTACTATGAACAACAATATCATTCACATGTGCGGCCCGCCAAAATTTCGCTTCCCGATAGATCAATAATAAGCCATTTGTCTCGGGGCCGCTTGTTTTTTTTTTGAGCGCGCGTAGACGACGGCGACGACGTCGCTGACTTCCAAACAGCACGGTGGCAGTAAAGCGGCAGTAGTAACGAACGTCCGGTGGTAGTGGCGGCCGCTCTCGCGGCGCGCGCGAGCACGAACAAGAGAGAGCGAGAAAAAGAGAGAAAGAGAGGGAGCGAGAGCTCGATCATTGCGCTGCTGTGCGCCGATTACGCCCCCCTCTCCCTCGACCCGTGCGCACAACTGAGACACTGCGACAGCGAACATCGGCTCCCCAACAAGCTGAACGAAGACGGTGGTAGAATGTATGTATGTGAAATGCGCCTCTCTCGCTAGCAGCAGACGGTGGCGCCATCTGCATTGTCAATGTTGTTGGGCAGCAGCAGCAGGAACAGCGACGAACAGCAACAGCAGCAACGGTGTCCGAGGATGGAGCAGCCCTAGGCGGCCCAGCCTTCCCGGCCCACGAGCAACAATAACAGCCCTGTAAGCCCAGTTAGCCGAAGAGGCAAAGCTACGCGCACTCTGCGACTCCATCAGCAGCAGCTCCCGCTCGAGGGATACACGACTAGCCCAGTCAGCGCCATAGCCCAGCAGGCGAGTTGTCGTCCAAGCCGCAAGCAACGCGATTTAAGCTCCGGGACATTCAGAGCATCCCCGATGCATTGAATATCCCTGTGATCCGAGAAGGCGCACACGCGCCCCCGTCTCACTCGCTCAGTCGCTCGTGCTAGCTCTCTCCCAATCAGTGTGTGCGTGTTTACATCACCGCGGCGCCCCGAGCCGAGACTCGCTGTTCATCACCCGGACCTGTTCGATCACTAAACGGCCGTTGACTACTGTCTACATGTGTTCACACGAGCGTCAGACGCGACTTCTACGGGGCAAAATGCTTTTTTTGGTGCTCTAGTGCGTTCTCGGGGGTGCGTGCAACCTACCACAGATCTACCTCTTTCCCACGAAACTCTGTCCGCCTGTGTTTTCACCGTTCACAATGACTTTGGACTGCTGCTACATTCGCCTCGTTCACGAACTGGACTGTTTTGATCCATGGAACTCTTCGCCTCATTCAAATTACTCATTGAACTCAACTGGCCTACTGTGTTTCATAGGTTTTCATTGTTTCCATTGTTTTTCACTGTTTGTATACTGTGGATGCTACTCCTATCATCATGTGTTTCCTCATTTGTGGCCATCGACCATTAAAATTTCTTTCTTTTCCTTGGCTTCATGAACTCTCAGTTTGTTTACATAAACCAAAATTCACACACCTGCTAGCATTGATTCACCTTTTACCTATTGTCGTCTTTAATAATATTTTTAATTGGTACTTTTACTTTTCAGATTTTATCGAAACTCAATTTCCAGACAACAATTATACATGGAAAGCTATGTAGTAAGTATCCGAGTGTTATGGCTCAAATAGACTATCGGATGCCTATAAGATTAGCAATCAATAGTAGTAAGTGCCAGAAATATCCAAATAATGGATTTGTGCAGAAATAGTGATTAATTTTTGTCAGTAGTGTAATTTGTGTCTGTGTAAACAATGCGTTAGATTGATATAAATAAGATGCAGTGGAAGTGATTCGAAAATTGAAGTTTAATCATGAACTATGAACTGTTTTGTTTATACAGAATGATATGTAGAGATGGAATAATCAAAGGACATACTAATTTTATTTTATATGATAAAATTTTTGGCACTTATTTACTTAGAATCTACAAGTATAATTACAACCAATAGTATAAAATAAAGCAATGTGTAAAGATTAATTTAAATTTTTGCAGGATGCGCACGACTTATCCGCATGTGCCGCATACCATTAGATTGCTTGGCGTAGTAGAATGGCACAACGAGGCAAAAGGATAAATAGAAACGACAATGACTCGGCGTCTTGCCCGAGCGCGATTAAAAGGCGCAAATGCAGAGTGGGGCCAGCTGCTACGGATACACCAGTACCAGTGGCAGCATTGGGCCCTTCTGAAGAGGAAGAAACGATGGCTACATCCAGTCAAGGAGGGTCATCCTGGACCCCCAGACCTCTCAGTGATATTAAAATATCTAGCATTTATAACAGATCAGCAGCAGAGCCACCAGCTGAGTTGTATCGAAAAGACTTGATAAGTGCAATGAAATTACCCGACAGTGAACCTCTTAGTCCTAGTGAATATTGGGTGATATCTGATCAATGGAAACAAGAATGGGAGAAAGGAGTACAAGTTCCTGTGAATCCTGATTCACTTCCAGAACCCACTGTCACTCTTATTCAAACTCCACCTATGAGTAAGCTTTATGGCGAGTTCAAGTTGTAAGTAAATTCATATATAACATTTTTTTGATAAATAAATTTGATTAAATTGGATTGGATACGTGCAAGGCATAAGAGTGTTATCATTCAATGCCAATTCAATCAATTATGTCTCAAAGTTTGCCCTGTAATATGAATCTAAAACTTGTTAATTTCAAATTTCAGACCAAGAAAGTATGTGAGAATACTTAGGGACGATTTTTATAATTCTGAGGAACATTGTTTGAGTACTACTCCTCAACGAGCTGAAAAAGCTTGTGGCTATGACTTGGATGATACTGATATTGCTTGGCTTGAAGTACTGAATGGAGAAAGAGTACTTGTAAATATAAAATTTTATTCTTAGTCAATTATATTTATATTTTGACATCCTATCTTATGTTAATATTTTTATTTTAGTGTGGGCAATCAGCAATCTCCGAGACACAGCTGGAACGAGTACTAGAGGAATTGGAGCATTGCTGTTGGGATAAAATACAAACAATAGTTAAAAATGATGAGGGTCTGGGGATAGAGTACGATGAAAATGCCATCTGTGATGTTTGTAGATCGGTGAGCATCAGAATGAGATTTTATTGAGAGTAATACAGTAACTGGTTCAAATACTTGATTCAAATCAATTTGCAATGTAGCCTGACTCCGAGGAAGGTAACGAAATGGTGTTTTGCGACCTCTGCAATATTTGTGTACACCAAGCGTGCTATGGAATCACGTCGATACCGGAAGGTTCCTGGCTATGCAGGACGTGTACGCTAGGACAGAGGCCGAAGTGTGTACTGTGTCCTAACGCGGGTGGCGCTATGAAGTCTACGCGTAATGGGCGTAGGTGGGCTCACGTATCCTGTGCTTTATGGATTCCTGAAGTTAGCATAGGCTGTGTAGAAAGAATGGAACCTATTACAAAGATATCCAGTATTCCGGTAATTCATTAATTCTTCATATTCGTAATCGTAGTTACTAACGTTTGTTCAGTTCTGCAAAAGAATATCAAAACTTACTTTACATTATTGCCTATTATTATTACAGCAAAGTCGGTGGCAGCTAGTGTGTGTTTTATGTCGCGAACGCGTCGGTGCTTGCATACAATGCAGTATAAAAACGTGCAAAACGGCGTACCATGTTACATGTGCTTTCAAACACGGTCTTGAAATGAAGGCGATCATCGAAGATGAACAAGCTGAAGACGGTGTTAAATTAAGAGTGAGTATTTTGTTCCAGCATCAAGTGAGTGGGGTGAATAAATATAAAAAAATTACAGTTTTAGTGGTAAAAGAATGAGTATATTGTGCGGTTAAAATTAAAAATAAAATCCGCGTTTGTTCTTATGATTCATTAAGTATCATTTATTCGTAACATTTTATAGTTGCTTAAAGACAATTGCAGTTTAAAATTTGATATAAAAATTTTATTGGGCCGTATGAAGAGCAAATTAAAATTTTGTAAGGCAGTTTTATAATTAAATAAGTAAAAAATTAATAATTTTTTAAAAATCCACAAATCATTCATATATACAGTTACTTGAAAATATAATTATCTATACTATTAAATTTAAGAAATTAAAAAAAATTGGTGTAGCTATATGATGCACAACGAAGTAGCCTTTGAACAGTGGCTGTGCAAAATAAGCCATGCTCCCGATAATCAGTAGATTTTTTAAATATAAATATAATCATTAAATGTAATAATTTAATACATTGTGGATTGGTTTATTATTTTTAATTTATCACGATATTATCCTGTCTTTCTTAATATTGTAGCTATGTTCAAATTTTCACTATTAATTCATAACATTTACTTATTAAAAAGAAACTAGCTTATTATACAATGATTTAAAGAAATGGGAATGTAATTTAAAACAGTGTATGTGTCCAATTTTATAAATTAATTGTTATATCACTTGTTCCACGTGGACGTAGGTCTTAAAGTCATAATAACAAATAATTAATAACTTTGTGTCATTGTATATTTAAAACACTTTTATTATCATTTAAAATCCTTATAAATACAAGGATTTTTATGATTCTAATTATAACTTTTGATTTACGTATTATTTTCTCTGTTGAATGTAGTAGTTTTATTTTTCTCGAATAACAATACCAATATTATTATATTCATTTCACATTAATAAGTCAATGTTGTATCACAATTTAATTTGAATTTATAAAAAAATTTAGACTTGAAAAAATTTTAATTTAATTTACCTTTTACAGTCATATTGTCAAAAGCATGGTAAAATAAATGTAAAAGACAGAACTGCCAGTAGAGGTGCCGGAAGCACGAGAGGTAGTGCGGCTGGTTCAGATTCTGATGAAGGCGAAGTTCGTCGAAGAGAGCGAAAAGATATGAGTTCCGAGGAGAAAAATCAAGCGCGCGCTACTAAGTAAGTGCAATTTATTTATATAACTAAGAGACTTGTTTTAACTTTTTCACATTATTTTCAAAATTAATTTTTATAACCAATCTATATTAATCTACTTAACTCATGCATTATTTTGAGTAACTAAAAAATTATTTGTTTTTATGTTATAATTTATCATATTCTATGTATGCAAAGCTGAAAAGTAGCTAATGAAGTATCTTCTATAATAGACTCCAGGAAATCGAAGCTGAATTCGACAAACACGTAAGCCTAAATGACATCACGAATCATCAGTTGGATATAGATTCGGACGCTCTTGTCTACATTTACAATTATTGGAAACTGAAGAGAAGAGTAAGTTGATTATTCTTTAAATTTATTTCAGTGTATAGACAAAATTAATTCTTAGTTCGCCATAGCCGTGGTCAAATGAGTGTCCAGTATAGTCTAAAGCATTTCAAAATAAAAAATTATTTTTAAAGCCAGATTGTTTTTGCAGGCGGGCCACAATAAACCTTTACTTCCACCTCGTTGTGGTGATCTATCGGGCTCTGGTGCAAGAGTACAGAGCCAGGCCGCCGACAACGAAAAAATGAAGAAGTTTGTGCAACTACGTCAAGATCTTGAGCGGGTGCGCAATCTCTGCTACATGGTCAACAAACGCGAGAAGCTCTGTCGTTCATTTATCAAATTGCGCGAGCAAATTTTCCATAAGCAGATGTTGCTAACGGAAAGTGGCTCGGCAGTTGCTACGGTACTCGAGGCTAATCATGGTCCCTCGATTTACGACCATCTTTACTCGCATGATCAAGCTGACAAACACAGCCACGATCTCGACTTGTTGCTCTCGCGAATTCAGGGCCTCGAGTCGAACGTACCCAACGACAAGAAGCACCAGCCCGACTTCAATGGTGCATCGAACAAGCGATTACATTTCAATGGCACGATCACGCGAAAGAAACTCTACAGCAGCGAATCTTCATCGCTGAGTGGGGGTGAGGCTGATCAGCATAAGATTAGCAAAAGATCGAGTACGAGTAAATCGCACACGGATAAGAAACTGGTGAGCGTCTTCTTTTTTTTACATCGCCTATTTCAAAAATGCAGTAATGGAGATTTTATATTTATCAATGAAATTTTATTGCAGCCGCAACTCAGCAAGTCTAAAGTTACGTCAAAACTTGAGACAGACTCGAGTACGGAAGACGACGATAAGCAAAGCAAAGCGAGCAGCAGCAAGGTTAGTCCAAGGCGAAAACCTAAGAAGACTGGTGCGCCGGACCGACCGCGACCTTCATCCCGCAAAGTTCTACACGAAAGTAGTGAGAGCGACTCGAAGCCAAAATCGACGGCGACGAGATTACGAACTTTGCATCACATGGAACGCGAGCTTGGTAGTGCCTCGGGAAGTGGATCCGACGACCTCATTCCCTTCGGCAATAAGAGCACGGTAGCCTCGCGCTTGAAACCCACTGAGATCTATTCTGACACGGACTCATCACTCGATCGCAGTTCTACGAAGCTTAGTACTAAAGCTTCTACAAAGTCCCTGTCATCCAACGAGTCCAAGAAGAAAGACAAAGACAAGCACAAGAGCGGCAAGGAGAAGGACCTTAAGGATTCCCGGGAATCGTTGTTCGAGGTGAAGAAAGACTCGAAAAACAAAGAGAACCAGAAATCCATCAGCAAGAAAGACTGCATAGCGTCGACGCTAATAGTTCCTCAAAGACAGGCCGCCAAAAAGGCCTCGGAGATAATGCAACGTTCGCAAAATAAGAAAGAAATGGCACCAAGTATTGGCAACGAGGTCTCTCAGGATACCAAGCCGTCTGTTGCTGAGGACGCCATCAAATCCAATGTCAAACCGTCGAAAGACGCAAAAGAACCCAAGTCTTCCTCGTCGACGCCGCTGTCCTCGAAAAAATCTAAACAGGACAGCAGCAAGTCTTCGGCCAAGGACACGCCAAAGAGCAACGATATTTATGACTTCGATAAGGAGCCAGGCGATGAAATTTTTGCCTATGTGCCGCAGCGACAAGCGGCCAAAAAAGCCGCGGAGCATATCAAGAGCAATATTAGTGCTAAGTCAACAACGCATCCACCCGAAGTGGAGGCCGACAATAAAACCAAGAAAGACGGCGAGTTAACTGTGTCCGTGACAAAGAAGAAACAAGATATTAAAAAGGAAGATTCGCCAGTGAAGGACGAGTCGGCCTTGACTCCAAAGAAATCCGCGAAAAAGGTCGCATCGAAGGTGCAATCCGAGTCCTCAAGTAGCAGTAGTAGCAGTAGCAGCTGCAGTAGCTCGAGCGACAGCAGTAGCGATTCGGATGACTCGAAAAGTCCAGAACACCCGACGCGCAGGTCGAGTACAGCCAAGGAACGAACTCTTTCGTTGTCTACATCGTCTGAAAGTGAAGCGGAACAGTCACCAGTCGGCCACGCAAAGAGTACGACAAAGGGACGGCCGACCAAAGGCGGCGAGACAAAGCAGCCCGAGGTCAAAAGTGACGACGAGGATAGGCAACAGAGCTCGATTTCCTCGATTTCAGGGACTGGGCGGAAACTCAAGAAGCTGCCCGACAAGAAGCTTAAAACTTCCGACGGGCGGCATGGACACGAGTTTCAGCCGCCGTCTACTGAAAGAGATGAACCGAGCCGAAGCCCCTCCTCCTGTCGTAAGGAGTTCGACCAGCAGCAGCAGCAACACCAACAACACAAAGACAGCAAACAACGCCAACAGCTCGCCGACAAACCTAAATCCTCGGTTAAGGAGTCAACTGCCGTCGCCAAAAAGTCAGCTACCGTTCAACCACAGCAGCAGCAACATCGCCATCAGCAGCAGCACCAGCCACAAGCTCAAGCTGATGAAGGTCTGCTCGGTGGGCCTCGAGATAATGATGGGTCACGAAATATATCTAGGCTCAAATCTTCTAAAAAGCAACCTAGCCAAAGCACCGCCAAACAACAAGACCAACAGCACTCTCCAGCAGACAAGTCCATTGTCGCCAAGGAAGAACTTGGCTCAGTCGCCAAAGGCAAAGTCCCTGCAGCCGAGGCTCGCAAACGAAAATCAGGCCAAGTTTCGCAAAAAGAAGAAAAGGTTAGTAGCAAGGATGCGTCTCCGATCAAAAAGGTGGAGAAAAGACTGAGCGAGAGATCGATCGAGAGAAGCAACGCCAGCAAAGATTGCGACTCGAACGTCTCGAGAGAGCGGGTCGCCACGGTAGAGCCCATGCAGAAGGCATCCACCGCCGCAGATGAAAGTCCCTCGAGGACGGACAGGAGATTGAAGAAGGGCAGCAGCAGTGCTAGTGGTAGCAGCAACAACAACAAAAATGCTGTCCCGTCACTCGAAGAAGAGATAAAGCAGAGAAAGGCCAAGCAAGACAGTCCGAAGAAAACCTCGAGAGGCTTAGACAAACTGCTTGAGAAACGGGAGCACGAGAATAAATTGTCGAAGTCGAAGATTGCCGAAGCCTCTAAACAAGACAAATCTCTGATATCCGACCGATCCGAGAGCCTGGATACGCACAGAGACAAGAGTCAAGAGCACAATAACCATCATTCGACCGAGGCAAAAAGTTCAAATACGAGAAACGCACTGACAGCGAGTGAATCTTCTAACAGAATTGGCGTTGACGCTGTGCACAAGAAAGATTTAGCCGACACGCCGCTAGCCGAACGACTTAACGAACACAACAAAAAGAAAACTAAGGAGAAGCCCGATATTCCTCCTCCAATTGGTTTGGATCAAAACAACGATCCTTTGAAACAGCAGCTCAAGGACGAAACAAAAGGAAGCCAGGAGAATCTGTTCTCAAGACCAACGCCCGACAAGCACGCCTCGATGAATGAGAGCAGCGAGAAGGAGAACAGTAACAAACGTCGTAAATCTGTTAACCGATCGATATTCTCCCCCCAACACGGAAGTAAAGACCCGGGCGTACCGGATTTCTTCGATTTCGACCAGGACATTCTAAACGACGATATGGTTAGCGATGACGGCTTTAGCATATCTCGGGACGCTGCGGCGGTTCCTCCATTCTGTTTTAGCAATGAAATCTGGTTTAAGGAGGACACGAAGGAAGACAGTGCAAGGGAAACCCTTAACCTGGTCGAAAAGCTTCGTATGGGCATGTCGAAGAGATCCAATTCTAGTCAGTTTCATTTGGAGAGCAACGTTACCGCCGCAACAGCTGTTGTATCTGTCGAAGCGGATATCAAAGCCTTGAGAAGTGGCGACATGAAACTTAAAGTAGCTGAGCAACAGCAAGCTGTTCAGGACGCCAGCCAGGTCAAAGTAATTCCAACGAGCAACTTGAAGAGTAGCAACAACGCGTTACCCCCGCATTTAGTCAACGACGTAGACCAGGCGGACACACAACAACTTGATCCAAAGCAAAAGCCTTTTGTGAACAATAGCGAAGCCTCTTACGTAGACTACGGTAGCGGAGATCTCGACAGTAGCAAAGTGGCAATGGCCGATCGGGCTAAACTTGATCGAGCAGAAGCAGACGAGCGCTGGGTTCCACCAAGTACGGATACATTTAATACCGCCGAACAACACCTGAATGCATTTATCGACAGCCACCGCTACGATATAGCCGGTCATCAGTTCTCCAATGATCTTGGCGCGGCTGTTCTCGTAGATAACGCTGCCAACACACCCACAAATCCTCTAGTCTGCTCGCAACTACACATGGACGTGCAGCAAGAGCAGCAGCAACAACAACAACAACAACAACAACAACAACAACAACAACAACAGCAGCAGCAGCAGCAGCAGCAGCAGCAACAGCAGCAGGAGCAACAGCAGCAGCAGCAGTACATGATGCGCTCTGCACAACATCTTGATTCACATGCTGAGCAGAATCGCATGGTGCAGGGCGCTGCCCATCTAGTGGAACAAACCGTCGGCCCGATTCCTACTCACATGATTGAAGAAGTACAACCTTTCGAGATGGTGACTCGTCACTTGATGGGCATGCAAGGTGCAGCTATGGATGATGATCAAAATAGTGAGATGGACCGCGTTCTTGATAAGGAAGATCTTAATTCAGATGTGACCCGGCAAGACTATGCTGCAGGTACCTCGCCGTACAACGATTTGGCGAACGTCAGGCAAGACACGCGCTGGGCCGAGAGCCAGGTGCTACCCTCGCGTCGTTCGACCTCTTCGTCGATCACGTCGGCTTCCTCGGTAGACGATCATGCAGGCATTCCTCCTTACAAGCAAAACAATACAAGCTCTGGTATGCCACCCATGAGCTTTCCTCCCTGTTCGGTCGAGACGGCCGTTAGTTCCTATCATTCGTACGAGGCAGGTAACAGCTATACCGGCCCCGTCTCGCTTTTTCCGCCTCAAGCCAACAGTGGCCAGTTACCCTACTCATCAACAGGCGCAACTATGTTTCCACCACCCATCGGTGCACCCTTCCCAATGCCTCAGACTCTACTACCTCATGTATCGAAGCCGCTCGAGGAGCAACTGGGCCTGCAGGCCTCGTCGTGTACTGCCGCTTTCACCTCGTCGTCGCACAACATGGCCTTCACTGCAGCAATGGTCTCACCGACCAAGATGTCATCGCCGCCGGCTTCTCAGTCTGGTCTCGATGATCACGATCTTTATCAACATCCGCAGTTGGACCAGAGCTTAGAGCAGCAACAAGTGTTGTCGCAAAGTAAACCGCCAACAGCGCCCATTCTGCCTATAGAGGAGAGTCCAGCCGCAGCGGTGGCCACAGCCTTCCTCAATAGTGTCTCGGAAACAGTTATTCCGAAGCCACCGGTCAACGATAAAACATCTCGAGAGCCGACACCACAAGAACAAGCTAAACGAACGCCTACCCATCCGGGCAAGAAATCTCCATCCAAGCCCACAAGAACATCGGCTCGAGTCACCTCGTTACAGGGCAAGTCGCCAGGTAAGTCGCCGCGGCAACAACAGCAGCAACAGGAGGTCACGAAGCCTGCGCAGAGCCGAGGCCGCGGTCGAGGCTCCAAGGCCAGCCAAGCGAACAACCGAGGCAGGGGTAGAGGCCGGGGCCGCGGGCGAAGCAAAGCGTCGCAGCAGCAACAACAGCACAACAGCAGCTCGATGCACCTCGACGATTCGATCCAGCACAAGCTCGTGGGCACGGTCTACGACTTTGACTCGGACGAGGACTCGCCCAGTGAGACCAACATCGCCGACCTGCGCACAATGCGCGAGCGCAAGAAGTCGAGCGAGGTGTCGTCGCTCGTGGGCAGCGAAAGACGTGACAGCTTTTCCGGATTGGCCAACGAGTCTCTCGCAGCTCACCTGTCGAGTCCCACCACGCAACGCAACCTGCACAAAAGCTACGAGGAAAGTAGAAGGCTGCTGGCTGCCGCGAGTTCGCCCTCGATGCCCGGCGACGACTCAACCATTGGAGCCGAGTCCGAGAGCGGTGTCGGGCAAGCTTTCAATGACCAGGTGATGCCATTGCTGCCCGGTCCCGTGGACATGCGCACCTACAACTCCGGAGCTGAACTGCAAGGATCCTCGCTGCTCGGTCAATCCTACAGCAACCACTTGCTTGGTTCTTTCGCGTCGGCCGAGCATGGCTCGATACCCGACATGGAGGAGGATCTCGAGAAAGAGCTGCAGTCAGCGCTATTGGCTAAACAGCAGCCAAATCTTGTGGCAAAGGGTATCCCTCAACTGGATGCCGCATCAGCTGTGGAAGAGGACTCGCGGAATCAGCTCAAGGTGAAGATCAAGGGCCCCTTCCTTGACTCCAACTACATGACCAGCTCGGCGGTACCGATACCTCTGGCCCAACAGCCACATCCCATCATCACGCCTACGGTTAACAGCATGTCCATGGGCTCGGCCACGGGCACATCTAGTCTGAGACGCATGCGCAAAAAGGAACTGCTCCGGCAGTACGTTCTGCAGGCTACCGATGAGGCGGGCAACGTGCCATCGACGCCCATCGTTATTCCGCCCATCAACCGCACGGTTATCACAATTCCTAAGGCCGTCGCTTCAATGACCAGCATTCCCACCCGTGAAGACTATAAAGACTTCGTGGTCGACGCAAACCTCGACAAGAAACGACGAAAAGAGCGCGCCAGTGTCAGCAGCAACCTCATTGACGGTCACTCTGAGGAGGAGCCGCAGCAGCAGCAACAGCAGCAGCAGCAACTGTCAGAGAGGCGGCGCTCATCCGGTGGAACGGCTGGAAACGCCGAGCGGCGACGGGGTCGACAGCCCAGGCCGTCCACCCAGCAACAAGGGAGTTCAGCTGAAACCGGAGCCCAGCATCCCAAGCTCAAGATAAAGATCGGCAACAGCGTACCTAGTCAGGAGGCGACGGCCTCGGGAGCAGCTGCAGCAGCTTCATCCGCCAGTCACGAAGATAGGAGCAGCATAAGGCCACCGAAAAAGAGGCTAAGCAATATTCCTAATATGCCAAGCATGGAAGAGTTGCGACGCGAAAGTATGAAGTATCGGCGGATGATTATTGCCGAGTTCGATTCTAGCAGTGGTGGCGAAAAGGTCACCAAGATAAAGCGTGAGAAAAAGGACAAGAATGGCAAGAGTAGAAAGAGGAAACAGAAGGATCCGAGCAACAAGAAGGAGGGTTGCGTGCAAATACTCGCCGATGGCAACAAGCCCAAGCTCATCATCCGACTCGGCAAGAGCAATCAGTCGAGCGGTGATGAAGCTGTCTCGGCCTTGAACCTCGAGTCGTTGACGAGTAGCAACACCAACGCGACTACCATCAATACCAACGCTGGCGACAACTCAGTGAAAGCCTCAGCTAACTTCCAAGATAGACTCGCGGCTCCGCCATCTACGTCTCCGGAGGACGACACCCCGACGGCCTTCAAATCCGAGTCAGCGCCACAGGAGGGCAAGCTTGCCGTGGGTGCGCAGCTCGAACATTCGGCAATCAGCGCACTCAGAAACGTACGATGCGCCAAGGTTTCGCCGATCAGGTTAAAACTAACTCGACGGACTGGCCAGGGCGGTTACGAGCTCAAATCACCGGGCCACGGGGTGTCTGACGAACAAGCGCCTGAAGCAACGGTCAAATTGGAGCAGCCTGAAACTCCAAAGGAGAAGGATGAGCAGCAACAACAATCAGAGAAGAAAAGCGACCCGGATGATAAAAAGAAGAAGACAAAACAAGAAGAGGTGCCGACGTTGCAGCTGCCGTCTTCCATGGATGAAGGAGACGAAAAACTGTCGGCACTCGGCCAGCCGACGACGACTGCAACGACCACGACATCACCGCCGACTGGCTGCCCGTCTGCGCCGATCCCTCAAGGATGCCAAGTTAGGTGATAATTAATGATAGCTGTATAATATGAGCAAAGGCTGCACGCCACCGACTAAGTCGCGATTCTCACATAGACAATGGTTATATTACTATTATACAAAAAGTATATATATAAATAAATTTTATATATATGTATATACTATATATATACATGTTTCGCGCGTATGTGTATATATATAATATTCATATATGTACGATATCCAACGTTAAGACGGAGAGACTCACTAGTAGTTAGAGGATGATAATTAAAAAATGCGTTGTAAGTGTGTAATATAAATTATTCGATTAATTCTAAGTGTAAATGATATGATCTGAGGGTGAAGTGAAATGTCACAAAGTGCCCAGAATCACCATTATTATTAAAAGCATGTGCATTTCCAATGGACGAGTGCGGGAGAGAATGAATTAGTAAGAGTGAGTGCTGTTATAGCCGGTCTCCTAAGCGCGCATTGGTCTTCTAGGGTGTTATGGAGGCCAACTCTCGGCTTTCCAATCGTATACTGCGCATATACTCGTACAAACATTCAATCCTTTTGTTTAAAGTATCTTCCTATCAACTTATAACTTATTTTACTTTTTTTAAAGCCGTTACAGTAGTGAATTTTAAAAACATTTCTTACATACATATAAATACACTTATTTTCACAATTGGTTTGAGACGCCGTCATCCATAGGGTGATAAGTCGCATGTTTTAGTAATTTAATAACTATTAAAGAATTATGAAATTTTTATTTTCAAAGCTGTGTGGTTGCCTTTTACATCACTTTAGAATAAACTACTCAATTGAATACATAAGTTTTTCTAGATAATCTAATTTTTAATCTTTTTTTTCGTTCACACGTTGTTATTTCATATCTTACTTATTGATGTACAATGCAACATTGACGGCGAATTTGTAAAGTTGATATAATATGTGATTCTACTTATTTATACATATTTTTAATAATTTTTTAAATACAGAATTTTATCGAAATACTCATTGCTTTTTATTTATTTGAATAGAAATATACTTTACGTAGGAAATAATTAACTACAATCCGGTTGGGCAATACAATGGAATGAATTATCACACAGCTGGTATCACAATTTTGAAAATATATAGCGAAAAATAATTGTTTATTTCACTTAAAAAATATTCATGATAGTTATTCATAATCGTATCGATCAATTTTTTTGAATGCTTAAGTTATTTTCTTTTCTTTTTTAAATTTATAATAAAATATTTTTCCCTATTTGTAACTTTTAAAAATCAATACTGATCATTAAAGTTAGTATCACAAACATGTTTGTATACAGTTTATGCGTAGTAATGATCAACACCTTTAGCAAGCGCAGAGATCTATATTAAGTAATGAAACAGTTTTTTAAATTCAGCTGTATACAAAATACAACAGATCGTTGTTGAATTTTACATGCTAATGCTTAAACAATAATTTTTAAACGTTTCAGGTAATGAATTTTAGTCAAAAATTATTCAGTAAAATTTGTCCTAAACAATTAATATCGTACAAAAGATAAATCTGAAATATATAAAAACAAAGTTCTATATTGGTGAATTTATATAGTGAAAGAAGTATACTTTTTATTACTTTTTTACAATGCTCACTTTTCTTTTACTCCTTAATGTGTACATTGCCTAAAGAACAGTGCAGCATTTGTTGTAACAAAATTTTGTAAGAGGATATCTGAATAGAAGATTAAAATATCTACAAACACAATCTTCTTGTTAAATCAAATCCGAAAGAATTTTGTCCGCGAGAGGCCTTTCATATTGGCAATTCTTCATAATATATTCAAACAAACAATTCATTCTCTACGTATTTTGTAAGCAAACAGTAATTAAACGTCGATCATTTTTCGTCACTTTTAAAAATCCCCGGAAGATACATGTGTATACATAGATTTTATATTAGTTAAGCATGTTGTTGGAAAAAAATTTGTTTTCTTTATTTATTACAATTTTAAAAACAATTTCAGAGAATACTAAGTTTTCTTCCGTAATTATTTTTTTTTTTTAACAAATACAAAAAATTATTTTAAGAATAACAAATTGTTCAATCATAAAGAATTAATAAAAAACAAAAAACGGAAGAGATAAAATAAAAAATCACGCTCAGTAAATAGGTAATTAGTCGAACTCAAACCGTACAACTATAAAATTGGTGATATCAATGAATTGTAGTAATTTTGTAACTTTCGTGCCATTTTGTACCGGTGTACGTTACAAAATCTAACGTGTAAGCTTGCAAAAAAAATGAAAAATGTAATGGACAAGACATCTACAACTTGAATATTTTATTATTTTTTTGTAATGAAATCCCGTATTATTTATCTCTATAATATATTGTTTTCGTGATAATGAATTTTATATTGAATTTAAACAGGAATAACGCCAGATAAAAAATGATAGAAGTAACTTTCAAATAAATATGTAATAGCCATTTGGATTATACATAAATTTGGTTTTAAAGTTTGGATGGTGTAGCGAAATTATCTAAAATCATTCGTCGTATTTTATGCATTGAAAAGTGTAACTGTGGAAAATGGCAATTCATTTCGACTTAAAGAAAGCAACTTAAAAAGTTGTTCAATGTTTATTCAAATATATTTACTCTAATAAATGCTTATTTATTAACATATCTGTTCTTCCAAAGCGAAAAATCCACTTTCCACGAGTAACTTGTACTATCGACGTAAAAAAGTAACAAAAAAATACCAATGCTCTCGTCTACTTCGAGAATTTGAAGGTCGTACACTAAGGAAAAAAACCGCCAAGTTGAACAATTGTATATAGAAAAAAATTTAGAATGTTTTTGTTGAATTTTCACCTCTAGCAAGTAAGTAACAGAAGAAAAATAATCCAGATGTAGCGATGTACTCGGTATGGACGTGCGAATGCTATGTTTGTTTGTGTACACAAATCATTAAAATATGCAGTCATCTTCCAACTTTATGGACTTTTTCTCAAAACAATTTCATTAAAAAAAGGCCAAGATCAAAATGTAAAGCAAAGATATCGCGGAGAAATCTATCATGTAGTTCATCTTCCATCGAGTTAAGTTCTAATTTGTTTGACTGATGTGTATTTATTGTCAGAAGTTTTTGCTTACAAACATATGCAAGAATGGAAAGCGTGGGAAAGAGAAAATATCCGTACAATCAATTTTGTCTTTGTACACTGCGCACTTGTATACTGAATTTGGGACAATCGAAAGCAACTGCGTTTTGAACAGAAAAAATTTTCTAGGATGATTGCGGAGGAGAGAAAGAGGGTGTTTTTACATTTCTGTATATAGACGGAAAAAATACACTCGCTTCACTCCCACTTCTAAGCAATTAATTATTGTAAAGCAAATATTTCTTCGAAATTTTTTATTCTTATATAAGTTAATATTTCCCTTGTGAAAATTGACTTCAAACATTTTTATTTCTATTTAAATACTGTTATAAGTATGCAAAAAATAGATGACTAAGACACACGTGAATTCTGTTCGTAACGCTTCGGCTTTCGAATAATGCAATAATAAATCTCGCGTCGAACAAAACTGACAACAGTCGAAACTAGCGACTTTTTTTATTATTTTGTTATTAACAAATCACAGAAAACGAGTAGTCGTTTAACTAAAAAGTACCTAGAAAACATGATATTTTTTTATAATTGTAAATGTACGATGATTTCACTGTTTTTCATATCGTACTAATTTTGTGTATTAAAAACCAATTAATAGTCATCAAATGTGCATCAAATGTAATTATTGATCCGTCAAAAATTTTCCCAAGCGCATTCTTCACAACTTGCATCGATTATTATTATTGAATAATTTTATTATAATACACATTACTCTTGCGTATTGTACATTATCGGTAATAAGAGATCATTTGAGAGCCTACGTATTGTACAGATAGATGTTTAGTTAGTATTAAATATTGTTTTTACTGAAACAAAAAATGGAGGCGAAGATGATAACTATCGCTAATAGTAACGATTATTACAGAAAATAATATTGATAATGAATTTAATATTATACATATAAATATATACATAGTTTTATTATAAACGCAAAATGAGTAATATGATATTTAGTTACTGTATATAGTGTAAAAGAGAAGCTGGTCTTGTAAGATAAAAGATAAGGTGTTTTAATGTGCACATAGCCGCGTCATTGTCAATAACCATATTATTACGATTAATAATAATTACAGTTTTTTTTACATCTCTTGTATTCCATTCAATACCTCCTTCGCCAACTTTTAAAATACCATCAAATGTCAGAGCACTTCAAAACCCATACTTTGAACACTATAAATAATGATTTTTGGTTATGTGCATGTTCAACCATGTTCTTCTACAATTTAAGTCCTCATCCGATGGGGTGACGTGCTCTAACAATTGAGTAAATTCATCAAGAGGGCACAACTCTGTACAACCAGGGATCTGAAGCATATCAACTTTAAGCGGGATGCCATAGTAATAAAATACCTGAAAAAGTAAAAAAAGACTCAATGAGATACATAGCATGTACATTATATTATGGATATTTCGATGACTTCAATTTCTTTGAAATGCAAAACCGTTTTTAGTATTTTTGATATAGATAAGTAGCCTCGGTTGTCAAATTTCAGTCAATGACTGGTCTGATAGTAGGCCTAGGATAGTAAACCTAGTTGCAATCGGATCGGTACATTTTCTTAACACTTGCTCATTTATGATCCTTTCAAAAGTCAAATTTCTGTTGAATACTATCGAGTCTTTCAACTAATTGCGCAAAAGTAATTTACCTTGATGAAATATTTGTTTTTAATTTCGTGCAGCTCGATTATGATAGCACTCGAATACTGAGGAATCAAGTCGTCATAAAGCCCGAGAGTTTGCAGCAACATGACAATATTTAATTCGTGACCGCTGTATAGATGAATTTTGTTAGAGTTCTTCTTTTCTCGGGTATTTTTCATGTCATCGATCATTTTTCTTAGTAGAACACCTGCAAAATTAATGCATCGTGTAAAATTTTCGTAGCTACCACAGCGATTAAAATGCCGATTGGAACAGACTTCCATAAGATTAGGCAATGGATAGTTATATATGTATACTGCGGCTCGCTTCATTCATATAAATGTCCAGTTTCAGATACCGTAATATTATCATGCGTTCGTGTTATCCTTGTAAACCCCCCCCCCCCCCCAAAAAAAAAAACTATCCAATTTCACGTATTATTAAATACATATCAGGATAAAGATATTCACATTACTGTCACAATGCGAAGCACGATTTTCATATTGCCTAAATGACTGGTAATAAAAGACGCTGCAGGTGGACCACCACCCTGGAGTTAATTGCGCGCGCTCACCTCCAGCCAGTCGCTTCAGTTGGTCATTGTATCCGTAAAGCTGGTACTGCAGAAGTGCACCCTTGCGAAGCGCGCCGTTGGGATAAATGCCAGCCGCCCAAATTGGAAGCGCTAATTTCATTGCTTTTAGAGCGGCGAGCGTGTGGTAGAGATTATTGGCATCCAGCAGCGAGCATGTCGCGTTTTTTCCCATATTCCTTCCCAGATCGGCCAGAAATGGGGTGAGTTCGTCGATTTGTCGCTTGAACTCCGACGACGCCAACACTCTTTTGTACTCGCTCGTGTATCTGCATTAAAATTATTCGTGGAACGGTAGAACACGGAACGTTAAACTGTCACGAATCTACTCACACTTGGCATTTTTGAGGCACGAAAATAGTATCCTCCTCATTCGACTTGAAGGACGTCAGCGTCGGTTGCCAGCGAATATTATCGTTCCACGTTTGGATTTTACTAGGAGGATACAAGCCCGCAAGCACTAGCTGTAGGGACATGCGTGTTCTCGGAGAGTCGGAACTTACAGCTTCCACATTTTCTGATATGTAGTGCGGTCCCAGCAGAGTATCGTAATTCGTTCGCAAAAATTTACCTAATTTGTATACACGCTGCTTCCCTTGCTGTAAATTCAAGCGTTCGTTTGTATTGCTTTCATCACATTGTCGAAAAAGTGCATTAATGCGTGTTCTTCTATAATTAGCACCACAATTATTGCGTGAGGTGACATAAGTATTTCGCGGTAAGAAGAGATGTATTATACAAAAACACTTTAGCTTCCAGATAGCAAATCTTTCATTCTCAAGACATCGCTATCTGTGATAAGATTTCAGTGACTGCGCTTTTTTTTTTATTTCACGCCAATTGACCAACGGTTTGAAAAAGAAGTAACAAGACTAGTTTACAGTTGCCGCGTTTTTTACTTTCGAGCGATTGCCTCATCGTCATTCTCTGATGGACCACCTGCAATAGCTTGTAAAATGTAACTTGCGCTCAAGCAATTCTGGATGATTTTCTGCAGCCTTACACTATTCTACTAACCATTTTTAAAAGCTCCCAGACGAAGCACGTTATTCTCCAAGTTCAAATGTTTGAATGCGATGTAATGTCGAATGGAAATTTCAGTTTAAAAAAAATCAATAAATAAATCAGTGTGATTCGTTCTGACTCGTCGAGCCAGCAGAAAGAAAAATTAAAATTCGAACAATCCATTCAGCGGTCGTCGATGTATATGAAACTAACGTAAAAGTGCTGTTCGATTGTTATGTTGTTCGAACTTTAAATCCTAAAAATTTTTTACTCATTACTGATAAAACGGCTACACAAAATTTACATATTAAAAGGTATAATTTGTCGTGACTTTGTCGAATCCTAATTTTAGTCAATCAGCGAATAATCATGAAACGAAGGCTACGTCCGACGTGTATTTGGATGAGTGCCGAAACGTGAAAAACGAACGAATACCAAGTTTGTAACTTACATTTGTCAATCCGCCGAGACCGATTGGGTAAAATTTATTGCAGTCGGAATTCGTGTCACAGCAATTTGGACAGCTCCTTATGTAGTTACCTGGTGCTCGATCGCCGTGTCTGAATAACTATTTCAAAATATATCTGTTAAGATTTTCTGCCAATTTGCGTTTTAATTCAATTGTTGTCAATTAAAAAGGCGAAATACATAGGCCAACAAGTTTGATATTTGTATTTGTGAGTATACAACTTACCACATTAACCAGTTTTATTTCAGCAAAAGCGAAAGTCAAAGTGAGACTGAAGAAAAAGATCGATATGAGGCTCATTGCGACGCTAGTGTGAGCACGGCAACCAATACACTGCATTGAAAACATTAAGCGCGCGCGTTATAATATAAGAACCGTGATAATTCCTTCTTTGCGCAGTTATTGGACATAATTTTTATTACTGGCCAGATAACCATTGTCCCGCGTGTGTTCAGCTTCACAATATTTCGAAATGGAAAAATTTCACATTTTATACATATTTATGAATTGTGACTGTGGTAATACAATGCATCTGCATGTATATTTTCATTGGAAAATCTTTCATTATGCATATGAAGAATCTATATATCTGGTTGAAATTGTTACAATTTGTACATTATGCCCATTCCTAAAAATTGATTACGTAAAAAGCAAACAGAATTCATCATTCGTCGCTAAGTTACATATTACGCGTGATGACATATTAGCAATACTATCAAAAGGAAATCAGATAAGCTTATCAAATTTATTATAGATAATCTACATATAATTCTTGAACTTGACTCTGTGATTTAAATGATGCAAATTAAAGAATAAAAAAGGCTACTAAATATACTATAGTCTTTATAAAAATTATCGGGTAAAAATTTACCAGCACAGCTCCGGATCGTAACAATCGTCACGATTGTGTGATTCACAAAAACAAAAACAATAGATGATCACTAAATCAGCCTCTTTAAGAAAATCAAACAAAAAAATAATACATATTGCTGATTACAGCATCGTACTTCAAATTTAATCATCATTTGATAAATCAATCTTTGAATTTTTGTGAAATTGTATATCGTTCAAAATCAAATTAATCAATCACGATAGTAATCTACGCCCGAAGTAGACTTTGGATGCTAGCGATCAATATAATGTGTACCGTATAATTGAAAACCATATTTTATGCGTAATTTTCGTCATCGGAATTTTTGCAGCTGATCAGTTGAATACATTGTTATTAATCGATATCTCACGTTAAATAGGCAGATGATTATGTAGACGTGCAAATTAAAAAAAAATATTTAAGTCAACAAGAGGATCTTGATGAACCGAATAAAAGTGATTTGATAAGACCCTTACCTTACTTAGGTTTCACGTCAAAGCCAAGGACATCATGATTTTTTAATAATCTCGACTGGTGAATAAATTGGCAGAAAAATTTATTTTTTAAATTATTTATAACTGTAAACGATATATTTGAAACAGGATTACGCATTTTTTCACAGAGTAGATGAAGAAAATTATCAAGAGCAGCCGTGACTAAAACAGTAATGGAAATGAACAAAATCGAATTAGTTTACGAAATAGATGGTAAGTTAGTCAGGTTGGTATGTTGATTTTGCTGTTCTATTGATTTTTAATGTTTATTTATTTGAGTTGTCGTAATATATATTTTTTGTATCAATTGAGAATTTAATAAAAGATCTAAGGAGGCTGGAAGGCAAACCAGCGAAACGTTGTCATAATCAATTGTATATGATTATTTAGTTGGAGTTTGGGAGTCACTCTCAATAACTTTGTAATTTAGTTTATTATTATCAAGATATTCGTCACATTTTAATTGAAAATATACAAAACACGATAAAACGCCCATTAGTGTTAACAAAACACGAAAATCAGTTCTCAAAAGATTTAAAGTACACAAAACAGTTTTGTAAATCTAATCCAAATATATTTTTCATACGTGCAGACAAAGGTAATATCACAGTATACCTTAATAAAGATGATTATATTGCAAAAATGATCGGGTTACTTTAAGACGCTAATACATATAAAATTACAAAGAAAAATCCAATACCATCGTTACTAACAAAAGTTTATAACATTTTACGGAAATTTAATGACAATGATTATTTGAACAATCAAACACAGTCATGGCAAAGGCTTATGCACTACCTAAAATTCACAAAGAAGGAATTTTCCTTATACCGATAATTTCTACTATTAATAGTCCAACAAATTTCTTATCAAGAGTGTTGAATAGTGAACTGCAGAAGCGTGTTTCGAAAACTCATTCACATATCAGCTGTAGTTTACAATTAATAGATAAACTAAAATCTTTATTTATTCCAAATGATCACATTATGGTTTCTCTTGACGTTTCATACTTGTTTACTAATATGCTAGAAAGTCTGACTATCAAAAGTTTAGAAAAACGATTTAACCAAATCCATTTTAACTTTAAGATTCCGTTTATTGATATTATTAATGGCGTGAAGTTTTTGTTTCGAAATACATTTTTTCAATTTAATAATGTCATTTACCAACAAATTTTTGGAACACCTATGGGCTCTCCAATTTCTCCCTTATTTGCTGACATAGCGATGGAAGATTTAGAAACTTATTGTCTTGAAAGGTTGAAAGTGAATCATGATTGCATTACTGTTTTTTACTTCAGATATGTAGACGATACAATTATGAGTATAAAAGAAGAACATTTACAAGTTGTTTTGGACGTTTTTAATGAGTATGATAAAAATCTTAAGATCACACATGAAATAGCGGTAAACAATAAAATTGCGTTTTTAGATGTATCAATGTCGATTGTAAAAAACAGAATTTTAACTAACTGGTATCAAAAACCAACTAGTTCTGGCAGAGTATTGAATTTTAATTCCAATCATACTATACAGCAAAAAAGTAATATTGTATATAATATGGTTGACAGAGCAATAATGTTGTCTCACAAAAAATTTTACACAATTAATATCAAAATAGTTAAAAATATTTTAATTAATAATAATTATCCGCAGGATTTTGTTGATTTAACAATCTCGCAGCGCACTTGAAAATAAAAATTCAGGAGTATGAATTTATACAATTCGTTAGTAAATAAGAACTACAGTTCTACATTTACAATTTCATTACCGTATAATAAACCATTTTTCAATTCTTGGAAGTTTGCTCTAAAAAATATAATATACGCGTAGTTCCATTTATGAGTAAAAAATTGAATAATATTGTAAAACTGGGTAAGGATCGTAATGACAAATGGTCTGAGTGTTGTATACAAGTTCCTTTTTCTACATGTTACATCGGTATGTTGATTTTTCTGTTCTATTAATTTTTAATGTTTATTAATTTGAGTTGTCATAATGTATATTTTTTTGTATCAGTTGAGAATTTAATAAAAGACCTGAGGAGGCTGGAAGGCAAACCAGCGAAACATTGTGATAATCAATTGTATATGATTATTTAGTTGGAGTTTGGATGTCACTCTCAATAACTTTGTAATTTAGTTTATTGAATCTTTTATATTCCGCAATACAAATATTTCTTCTCTGGTGTGAAGTCACTCGTTGTGTGTTGATGCTTAATAGTACATTATGCCCGAGCGAAGCGAAGATGGAAAGGTACAAGAGACGAGTACATTACGATACAAGTACGGGAATAGTACATTACGATACAAGTGCGGGAAAATAGATTCTGGTCTTGTGTGGCGTTTACGCCCGAGCGAAACGAGAGTGGAAAGGAACACGAGACGAGAAACTCTTTCCCGAATATGTGCCGTACCGTATTTTTTAATACGACGTGTCGAAAGTGTGATTTTCAACGCACGTCTTTTGCGAAGCGTGCGGGAAACAATTGCGCACTTTGCGCACGGAGTATCGAAAAATATATTAAGTATAGTAAATAAAATTTTTGTTTTTCAAGTCTTTTATTACGAACACCGTCCATACTATTGAACCGGCTGGTACAAACATGTGCTGTCAAAATCATGCCTTTGTCGCGTCAAAGGAAAACTACTATTCGTTTAGCTAACTTACACCCCATGAGGTGAGTGAAAGTTTCACTGGAGGGTGAGTCATCCAACCAAAGAACCAACCAATCATCGAAAGGCACGCATCTGTCGCACTTTTCATGGATCTTTATACGCTCAAGGCATATCAAGCTCTCTCACTCAAGTTTTCTTAGCGTTTTCCTATAACATTGTTAACATTGGACTGTTAGCAAGCTCCCGTTATTTTTTTTAATTTAGATTACGAACAGGAAATTCAAATGAAATTATTTGCTTCATTCTTGGTCTTAATCGTCATCAGAAAGTATCTGAATTTTCAAAATCAATTTTGAAATTCTTTGAAAAGGATGTATTGTCTAAGCGCTTTGGTTTGGTAGTCGTCAATTGAGACGACTTGATTTATTTTTTAACGATTTTCCTCCAAAAACTTCACGGCGTAGGTGATAATAATCACTTACACTAGTTTGTAATGACACTTATTTGAAACACAAAAAAGCAATAAAGAATATATTCCAATAAAGAATACCAACAAAGATCTTATACAAGCATCTTTTGCACAAAATGCAAGCACAAAAATTCTTTTGTGTTCTGTAAAGAAACGACAGTTTTGGATAATTATTTTCATTTTTTACGAAGTATAGTTTACTTCAACAAGTTATAAGGGACAAACGATCGCTGGCCTTGGAAATTCATTAGTGTTTTGTATTTGCTACTGTAAGTTATTAGGTGCAACAAAGAATGAAGTGTATGCCAGCATTACTACGTCGGATAGAATAATCGTTGTTATATAAAATCATTCCGAAGTGCAAATCATTATTAGCGCATTGGGTGTTAGTCTAGTGTTAGTCGTATCGATATCGACTTTACAAAATTTCTTTTTGGCGATAAATCAATCAAGTGTATTCCATCGACTGAAATTCAGTATCAAAAAATTGGACTATTACTAGGTCATTCAAAATATTCCTAGGTATTTCAATTGAGAGTTCAATATTGAATCGACTCAAAAAAATAAGAACTTTATGCATGGTTTTATTATCAAGAAAATATTTGATTATAAGCTTCTTTATTTGTAGTTTTGATATCTACCGAAGCAATGTTTTATCGTTTTTACAACTTTAATGTCGAGCAAGGATCCAAAAGTACTTTTTACAAATCTAAATGTTCTCAAAAATCAGAGTCTAACATATAACCACTGACGTATATCAAAACCTAATAGCAATCTTTGTCGATTTATTACAATTTCATTTCCTGAGTGTACTATAAAAAAAGTGAAAAAGTATGCTATTTTCGGTTATTGTCTATATTTGAGACATAGTTCGATCATAGTGTACGGTAAAATGACAATAACACGTATAGTAGCGCATCTAAAAAAAATAATCAATGAAGTATACGCGTCTTTATAATAATGCTAATGTGGGCTCGATATCAAATTCCAAAGGTAATTTGCAGTGTCATATATTGGTAAGAATCGTTCAGTGTAAAAGTAACATACAAGCATACCAAACAAGCTTCGACTATTTTTTGCAACTTGAAGAAATATAGAATTTTATTTTTGCTTGAAAATGTAATTCGTCCATCGACACTTTGCTACATCTTCCAAGAGTTTCGAAATTACAAGATGATTTCACAAAAATAATTTATACTTGATATATTAATATTAGCAGCTGAATAATTTGTCAATAACAAGGTAAAGGCATACAATCAAATATTCAAACCTTCATTTGTATGAAATTTTATTTCAACATATTTATCTTGTGCACAATTTTATTTATACATTATGTTTCGTCGAAAGACGAAAGTATTCATGTATATTTAAAGGGGAAGTATAAGGTTGCAACGTAATCGCGCTTTCTTCTCTCTCTCCTAGTGGCCACGTACTATTTCTTTCTCTCTTTTTCTCTTCTTTATTTATCTACATACTTACTCAGCATGCCTAACTACGATCTGACTATATGACTTTTCTTTCTTTTCGACACTCCGTGCGCAAAGTGCGTTTTACCCCACGCTCGGCAAAAAACGTGCGTTGAAAATCGCACTTTCCACACGTATCAAAAAATATGGTACGGCACATGTTCGGGAATGAGTTTCTCGTCTCGTGTATCTTTCCACCCTCGCTTCGCTCGGGCGTAAACGCCACACGAGACAAAAATCAATTTTCCCGTACTTGTACCGTAATGTACTATTTCCGCACTTGTGTCGTAATGTACTATTTCCTGCTTAAGGAAAGTAGGGGAAAGTGTGCGATTCGGGTGACGGCGTGTTATAAGTTTAGTTGTCGAGGTCAAGGCAGTATTAATCATACGTCCGAACTGATCGCACGTTCTGAATTCTACATTCGTTAAACAGATTTTAATTAACTTATTTAATTTGTTAACATAGTATAATTAAGCTTAATTAGTTTAAATTAAAATAGTTAATTAATAGGCGCGTGTTTTATTCTAGTTTCTTAAAACTCTTCCAATCAGTTTGAGTTTGAGTCCTTTTTTTGAGTTGTGCAAATCTAGCAATCGCCGTGAGAAAGACCCTCCTCAAACCCAGTTAATACACACTACAAATCATTTCATCACAGTTCAAGTTTAGCGTAATATTTGAATATTATTTTGGAGTAAAATATCTTGTATAAAAATAACTAATTTCGAATCATAAACACGAAATCATTACACAAATATTTACAGAGTGTGAATAATATCTGATATTTCTCTCTACAATAACCTAATGATCCATTAAAAAATTATATATAAAACGTTACAGACAATTGGTCTACTGAAAAAGTAGTTTTACTTATCTATTTGGCAAACATGAAAAATAATAGTCAATTAAAAATGTAATGCCTGACATGTGACTAGAAACTATATACATACAAACAACGTAATTTATTATTACAAATTTATTTACTGTAATTAAATGTAGTTTATTATATTTAATCATAGTAAAATGAACTGATAGTGACACAATTTTGTTGTTTTGCTAAAAGAGCTGAAACGTTTTACAAATTTAAGTTAATGTTAAAAGGCACATTTACATATAATTACGTTTGGATCGTCAAAATACTTCATACCACCAAATTGCCACGTACAACGTAAACATTATCAATGGAAATAATCTTACAATACTTTTATATAATACGGCTTTCATTATGAGTCTAACAATTTTATCAGTATAATTATCAAGTTTATTCCTCTTGATGAAGGAATAATTAGGTTCAAAATGTAGGATTTAATGTCAGTACTTGCGTTTAGAACAAGTCGAAAATTATCTCAATCTTCCACGGTTTTCCATTGAAAATATAACAATATACTTTATTTAACAGCAATTATTAAAACATGGAATTGGGCGAAAAATTATAGAATTGAGTTACGTTTATGACTCCAGACCACGGTATTTTCTTTTCATGCGAGCATATGGACCTATTTCTGGATCCATTATAAAATCATATAAAACAGAAATCCAAGAGTTATGCTGCGGTAAGTTGTCATAAAATTCAGCAGCTATTCTTTTAACCTAGAAACAATTTTTTAAATATCAATACAACAGATGGATAATAAAATGAGAAATCAAAGAAAATATAGAACTACTTCAGGTAATCTTGAACCAGGAACTGCAGGAAAGTCATGATGTTCATTGTGATATCCAACATTAAATGTGATAAAATTCAAAGGTCCATAGTAGCTGTATGTTTCATATCCCTTTTTGAACATATAATGTTCAGATATGAAATGTCCTGCAACTGGATGAAGACCCATTGCTAAAACTTCACCAACGATGAAGTACACTAAAACTTTTCCACCTAAGAAAACATTTTCATACAAAAATTTTTCATCTAGTATCATATTTGTATACATGATATTAAAATAGGCAAAGAATCTCACCAAAAAAGTACCATACAAATGCATCAAAAATTAACTGTATCACCAAGTTAACATATTCTAATATTGTTGGTGTTTTGGGATAAGTAATAAGAGGTCTGAAGGAGTAGAAAAATGGTTGAAGAAGGACCCAGCAGAATTTCCCAAACGTGGTACAAAATAATTTTGCTTCTAGTAAGGTTGGCAAATCTGTGTCTAATCTTTCATCACCTTGGTACTAACAATTTTCATAGAATGTAAATATCTAAATATTTATTTCCACTCAGAAATTTAGATTCAACAAAATGTGTACTCACTCTGTGATGCTCCAAATGATATTTTTTAAAGCTAATTGACATAGGAATACCAATAGGTAAATTTGCAAAAAATCCAAATAGTTTATTCGCCATTGGTCTTGAATGTCCGAAAGCCAGATTATGTGAAATTTCATGAACAGCTAGAAACATAGAAATGATCATATTAGAAATGATTATATTAAATAAATTATTACAATCAAATGTTAAATTACTGTTATAAATAAATATTATTGTGATTCATTTTCACATTTTAAAAACTTGCTTTTTACAAATAAACTAGAAACTTTTTTATTCACAGAAAAGATAATAAATAACTTTATTACATGTTTCTGTGAAAACTTAAAACAAGTTTCATGACTTAGTATAGAGTACACTTATTAGAAACTTATCAAATGTAGGGGAAAGTCATTAAGAAAACCATTACATACCTAACATGAGAGAATGATTAATAACTCCACCAAAGCAATAAGCCATTAGAAACAGCACAGGGTAACTGAGATCCTTAACAATAAACATTGATACAAACTGAATAAAAACCATGCCTGTGACAACCCATTTAAAATTAGGATCATAGCCAAATAGTTTCTTGATTTGTGGATATTTTGCTAGAAAGAAACGTATGACCATTTATAAACTACAAATCGCAACTACTTTAATAATGATTTAAATTGCATGATAAATAAGCTATGACTCACCCAGAATGATTTTTCGTCGACTTGCGTGAGGTTCCTCGGTATAAGTCCATTCAAAATCAGTTCTAGATACGTGTTGTCCCATTTTTAACAATATATTAGTCTACTTTCTTTAGAATCCACCCACGCTATCAAGTGAATCTTTTCATACCGGCAAATCGGCGCTGAATGTAAACTTATTATGTACTATGTATGTGTACGATACGTCAAAACGGAAGCGTGACTAAAACGACCTTGGTGGGGGTCAATCAGCCGAGTCGAGATAAAAGCAGTTGAATTTTCTCTAAGTTCAAGGAAGCAATAGAAGTAAGAGTGATATCAGTCTGTCGAATTGATTTTATCGAGCGAAGGAAAAAACCGAGACAGCTGTCTCTGTCACCTTAAACTGTCATAACCTATACAATTTTATCGTCGTTATTTAAATCGTCAACAGTGACAGTTGGTATGAACTATGAACAAATCAATTTAATTCCGTATGAAAATGACGGTCTTTATTCACTTGATCGACTTGTTTCTAGTCGATCCATTCAAATAAATAAACTAACAGAGAAACTTTATATGTATGTACAAAATACACGACCAATTGTTAAAGCGACCGACTTTGTGGACGGTTTTAATACTGATGACACTGTTGACAGTCACAAATACACTATACTCCCACTCAAGTCTCCAGTCTCCACCTCCAATTTACTGTATTATGGTGTAATTATGTTGGTACACTTTAGTAGTTTTCTTTTACGTATGTGTTTAGAAGCCGAAGCAAAAGTAACATTTGACCATCGTATAATATTTATTTATCTTATTCTCTATTTCATTATTCTCTACTCATTTTCCTATCATTTTCTATTTTCCCTTTTTTTCCTTTCTTTTCTGCTTAACTAGAGAAACAAAAAAAAAGTTAGAAAATCAAATTTGGAATTCAATTCACTGCCGCCATCTATTAAATAAGTCTACAAGTTATGGTCGAAATTGGTTTAGGTCAAGTCAAAATTGCATGAGCAATACGGCAAAGCCATATTCAACAAGACCAAGAATGTTTGACCAGTTTGACTGGTAACGTGTATTATATATGGGGCTTGATAAGACTCACAGCCTGCACGATTTACATTTTATGAGTTTTAGATAACATTAATTAGCAAAAATGGTTGATGAATCGACTAGAAAAACTTTAAGTAACATTCCACTATTAAAAACAAAGGCGGGACCGCGAGACGCTTCTTTATGGAGTCAAAGATTAAAAGAAGAGTACCTGTCATTAATAAAAGTAAGTTATTGGATCTCCTAGCATATGGCTTTGTTGACACTTATTTTCATTCTGGTACCTTTTATTTATTAATATAATTCAAAATGATTGTGTTACAATTTAACTTTCAGATATTTTTTGTTAATTATTGATTAGAAAATGAAATTTATCAAAATAATTAATTAATATTAAGATGTAAATTTTAATAGTAAACTATTACTATAATTCATTATTAAATAATACTATGTTAGTTACTAGTTAGGTACTAGTTTATATACTACTGTATATAAACTCTGTAGATATTATTTAACGATTTGTTTTTACATCTAGATTTTAGCTTAATATCTTTACGGAGAATCATTCTAAGTATTCTAAACATAAAATAAAAATATTATGAAGTTGATTCATTGATTTAATCGATGATTTTAACTAATTATTTTCTTTTTTAGTATGTGGAAAATAACAAACAAGCTGATAATGATTGGTTTCGTTTACAATCCAATGAACAAGGCACTAAATGGTTTGGAAAATGTTGGTATATTCATAATCTACTGAAGTATGAATTTGATATTGAATTTGATGTAAGTAGTTCTACAAACTTTATATAAATAACATCAGAAAATAAAATTCATGTCTTATAGATCCCAGTAACCTATCCTACAACTGCTCCTGAAATAGCATTGCCTGAACTTGATGGAAAAACTGCTAAGATGTATCGAGGCGGTAAAATTTGTTTAACTGATCATTTTAAACCTTTATGGGCAAAAAATGTACCCAAATTTGGTATAGGTCATGCAATGGCATTAGGAGTAAGTATTAAGTTGATTTTTAATTTTTATATAGGCATCTCTGAAATATTTAATACATTATATTTATAGAGTGTAATATGTTGTTTAGTCTTTACTCCTATTTGCTAGTTAAAGAAAACTTAATAGCTTTTTACACAAAAATAATCTATTAGATTTATAAAAAATTAAAAAAATGTTTTATTTACAGATTTAACTTACTAAGTTAACTTACTTATATAATAAATTTACATGATTTCAGCTTGGCCCATGGTTGGCTGTGGAAATTCCAGATCTTATTGAAAAAGGTGTAATAAAACATAAAGATGATGCACAGCATGCGTAATTTATAACTAACTTTATATAAAAATATTGTAAATAATGTTTTATGAAAGATATATTTATGATTCATCAGTTAAAACAAAAGAAAAACTTTATTTATAAAATGAAATAAATTATTTTTTGTCACTTTAGTTTTGTACATTATTTACAGATATTTTATTTTTACAAATAATAATTTTTATAAATTATTTATCTTCATCTGTTAACTTCACTTTGGTCTTCCCTTTAACAATTTCGTCAATCCTATAAATATCTTTCAAGGATATTTCTCCTGATCCTCTTTCAATAGGCTTTGGTTGGGATTCATCTGGTTTCCAGCCAACCATATAAATAATTTGGAAAGTAGCTGGCATATATCTAGTTCCATCATCTTTCAATTTACCATATATTTCATCGTAAATAGCAGAAGCAGCTAGTAATGTATCTCTTTTTAAATGTAATTTTCTATTTTTTGCAGCATTATTTTCTCCCATCCCTAAAAGAAAAGTAGGTACACATTTATACAGTGATCAGTGTATTTATAAAACAAAAATGATTTTATTAAGATTTATTAATACCTTTTAAATCCCACATAAGTTCAAATATAGATGGATATCCAATGACAATTTCATCTGTATCAATAGTCAACATTGAAAAACCTGCTCTTGTCAATAAACTACCAATATCTCTAATCTCAGTAAAAGGTGAAATATGTGGTGCTATACCACCATCTCTTTCTAATTCTGCCAATTGCAAAGATCCCCTAAGGCACATTATTTGTGAATTACTTTTCTTGCTGTCATATTTAAATTTATCAATTCATTCACTAACCTTAATTCGTAGAGTGTATCACCACCAAATACAGCAGCCATAAATACACCGTCTTTTTGAAGACAATTCATTATTCGACTAAAACATCCAGGTAAATCATTGACCCAGTGTAAGCTTAGACAACTTACAACAAAGTCAAAACTCTCTGGCTCAAGTGAAAACTCTTCTTCATCAAGAATCTTTTTTACAACTTTAACTCCTTCTGATGATTGTGCTTGTTCCAGCCAACTTGGGCTTAAATCTGCCAAAACAAGCTCATCAACTGATTCTTTTAAAATGTATTTTGAAATATATCCACGGCCACAGCCTAAATCCAAAGCTCTTTTGAATTTTCTTTTAATATCAAATATTCTGTCTGAAAGTCTATAACCTACTTCATCTTTTATATAGTCATAAACATTGACATCTGGTGCTTGTGCTGCACGTTCCCTTTGCAACAACTTTGAGTTTCGGTCGAAAACGTACATAACACTATTAGGAGGTAGAGCTAATACTGTTTTAGATATTGATATTTGTCTTTTGATTCGATTACAAAACAAGTTATTATAATGGATAAAAGAATCTAAAAATATTAATTTATTGATAGATTATTATTTTATAAACATTTATTATGAAGCTCTTACGTTGTGACAGACATTGATGAAGTTTGTACAACATGATAATAGCTTAAACAACAATCAAAGTTTATATTACATTCCACCCTTTTATTATAAAGTTTTTTTCATTACTAAAATAATTACAAAATAAAAATGCAATACAGCAAAAATAAGTTTATATGATTGGTCGTTTGCAGACAATTGATCAAAGCTATAACCAATCAAGTTTCTGCATCTAACTTAATATTTCCTATCCTATATATATATTTCTACCACGCACGCGCGAAGAAGTTGATGCCGAAGTAACTGCAAATCGCGACGCGGATTGCGAGAGCGAGAGTATAGTGAGAGTGAGACTATCATATGAGAATTGAAATTAAGATTTAATTTTCGAGGTTAGAAATGAGTGTAATTAGTTAATATTAACAGTTTTGTGATTTGAAGATTTATAAAACATTTAAATATTTACATTTTTTAAAATGGATATAGATAATAATGAAAAAAAGGAAAGTGAAACGTGCTCTGAATCTGCTGATATAAATGATGTCGAAAAAAACTCACAGCATTTAGAGATAAACAATTCTAATAAAGTAGATGTTTGTACTTTACAGAGTTCAGTTAAAACAACAAAAAACGATAGTGACGTTAAAAGTAAGTTTCATTAAAATTAAATTGAATGAATATTTTATTAAAATATTGATGCATTTTTTGTAGGAATAGAAAACAAGGTAGAACAAAAAAGCCTAAAAACTGCAGAAGATAGTATTAAAGATACATTCAAAAAACCAATTTTAATTGTTGGACCGCGAAGAGGTCATCTTACAAAATTAAAAACTCTTTCTCATAATAAAGTAGCGGATAATTCTGCAAATTTAGAACAATTAAATGACTCATCAAAGACAGATGTATTAACACTCATTCAACAAATTCCTAAGCCTGACAATGCTGTAGATTTGAAAGTGGAAAAAAAAGTATCCATTCCTTACACAGAGCCATCATGGAGTGGAAAACCAGAAGGATCTTATAAACTTGAAGTTTTAAAGTCGGGAGTTATATTAGAAACCATAGATATATCAGGCGAAAATTTTTATGTTGTTGGGAGATTGCCAATTTGTCACATCCCAATGGCTCATCCAACAATATCACGTTATCATGCTATTCTTCAGTATAGAGCAGTTGGAGATCAAAAAAATGAAAAAGGATTATATGTTTATGATTTGGATAGTACACATGGAACTTTTTGGAATGGTAATAGGATCAGACCTAAAGTTTATGTTCGTCTTCACGGTGGACACATTGTTAAATTTGGCTGCAGTCAAAGAAAATTTATTATACAAGCTCCTTTAAATGATCAAGAGCAAGAATCAGAATATTCTGTTACAGAACTAAAAGAAATGAGAAGACTTGAATTAGAAGAAAAAGAAAAACTTGAAAATCTTCGAATAGAACAAGAAGAAGAAGAGGAAAGATTAAGAAAAGAAAAAGAAGAGAATGAAGGAATTGATTGGGGAATGGGAGAAGATGCAGATGAAGAAACCGACTTGACTGAAAATCCTTATGCACAAACTAATAATGAAGATATGTTTTTGAATGATCCTAAAAAAACATTACGGGGTTGGTTTGAACGAGAAGGACATAACTTGCAATATAATACAGAGGATAAAGGCATTGGGAAATTTTTATGTTGGGTGGAGTAAGTTTTCATATTATATCAATAATGAACAATCCACACAAGACAAAGAGGTGAAGAAAATAATGCAAACTACTTTGTTAGTTTGGCTTCTGAAATGTTTCCAAAAATAATATTTCTCATTATTTTCTTTACCTTTTTGACTTAGGAAAATCATTTATGAAACTGAGTTATATCATAGACCAAATGATAAACAACAGTTTCAATATTCATATTACAACTTATCCAATTTCAACATTATCTCAATTCTATTGGTTTATTCACAGTTTACCTATAGAAGCTGGAAGAAATGTAAGAGCTGAAGCACTTGTGAGTGGGAAAAAAAAGGAAGCAGTAGTTCAGTGTGCCTTAGAAGCTTGTAGAATATTAGATAGATATGGATTGTTACGACAAGCAAATCATGGTAAGTAGATTTTATTATAAAGATTAACAATGGTTTTGTTAACAAAAGTCTATTTGTAATTCATATTATTAACATTGATCTATAATAATAGAAGCCAGAAAAAGAAAATCTAGGAATTGGGAAGAAGAAGACTTTTATGATTCCGATGATGATAATTTCTTGGACAGAACTGGTACAATAGAGAAAAAACGTGAACAAAGAATGAAAATGGCTGGTAAATTAGAGAAAAAAGCAGAAACTTATGAATCTCTGGTATTTACAGTATATTAAAACTACTTGTATTCTTTATTCCAGCAAAAGAAAATTAAACTATTAATTAATTATTCACTTTCATTTCAGTTGGAAAAGCATTCCCAAGTTCGTGCAAAAATAACAAAAATAGAAAATACTATAGAACTATATAAATCACAACAACATAAAGACAACGATTCAAATGTTGATGCTTTAGATGCATTCATGTCTTCATTGGATTCAGCAATACTTGATAGGACAGAAATTAGAAAAATGAAAATAGATCTCTTAAATTTACGTAAAGAAGAAATGCAATTATTAAAACTAATAAATATAGCTAAACCTGCTAATTTGCCTTCTCTAAAGCCTCATATTCCAAACGTAGCTAAGAAGTCAAAGATCAATCTAAAAAATTCAAATGTTACAACTGAATATGAAAAGAAAACAAAGTCCTGGGATAAGGTACCAAAATTTATTTCTATTATAAAAATTAACATTTATAAGTATAACCATCTTTTCAAATATTTTATTATTTTTATTTCTTTCTCTTTTTAAAGGACGATGATATAGAAGCAAAAGAAAAAGAAGAAATACGAGAAAAGTGCAACATTAAAAGCATCAAAGCTAGTAATGTGACAAATACCAATCAGAATGACACAAAGGAAAAAGATAAATTGCATAAAGAAGAAATAGATGAAAAGACGAAAACTTGTTCAATAAATACAATCGAAAAATCGACGAAAATAAAAGACGATTTAGGAAATAATACTGATGAAGATGAACAATTTGATAAAGAAAGTTGGAAAAAGAAAAAACGAAATATGAAGCGAAATCAGCAAAGGGCAGAGAAGGCAACAAAAGAATTGAGCAAAGAATATGATCAAGATCAGTACAGAGAAGATTACAATATCTGGGTACCACCTGAAAATCAAAGTGGTGATGGACGAACCAGCTTAAATGATAAGTTTGGTTATTAAGCATGTACATTCGCATATTAAAACTTCATAAATCTTATAATTTTTTAAATAGACTTAGATATTTATACCAAAAAAATCAGGCTGTATCTACTGAAAATTTAAAAAAATGCTTATTTTTTTAAATTCATGAAGCTCACATAATTGAAAAAAAGATGGTAAGATTTTTAATTTTAATAGTTTTTTTTAATTATTTATTACGATTTTTATAAGTACGCAAAAATTTCAAGAATTCAATCATTTCCCTATTGCAACGTGTGCAGTTAAATTTCGCCTTAAGTTTTCATTTCGTCTCTTGAGTGCCAACAATGCGTGAAAAAATCTTATATACAAGAAAAATTTGTTGGTTAATAAAATAAATCCATTGCGTATATTTAAATGTCTAAAACAATTCATTTTAAATCTAAGTAACGAAATACTTTGTATAGAAATAAATAGTAGAAAATCTACTTTTATGAGATTGACATTGTAAATGATTGTAATATATTAACTTTTTCGTTAATTTTTTTTTAAGCTACTATTTTAACATATGCTATATCGTTTTAATAAATTGTATATAAGTACAAAATAAAAAATTATTATGTACTGTAGTATATGTAGTATATAATTTAATATATGACGTATAAAGAATTAAAATATAATCCATAATATTAATTATAGCGATATTTTTCTTATTATTTTATTTTGTATAATAAAGTATTTTGAAATAGACGTCTTTGATTCTAGTAGTCACGAACTTATCCAAAGATATACTCAGCTAACTTCATATCGTTTGCATCGACAGAATATTCTTGATCTTGTACATACATATATACATATATGTATGTTAATTTAATGTCAGTCATTGGAAAATTGGAACTTTCACGAAAGTGGAAACAAAATTGTAAATATTTATACCTTTTTCATAATATCTCGTTAGTTCTGTAAAAATGATTGACGAGTACGTGGAATACATTGAACCTTATTGGAAATTTTATCATGATAGAGGTATGAATGTCAACATATTTATGAACTACATAAATAATCGTTTTATGATACATTCTTGACAAAGTGAGCGAAAAAATAAATACATCATTATTATTACCATAGTAACAGATATTGCCTTTTGCACTATATATATATACATATTGCAATCATATTTTCATTAAAAATTAATATTTCAATATTATAGTATGGCTATTTATCTCATCTGTTGGTTGGTACTTTGTTGGCATTTCTGTTGTTTTAATATACGCATGGCCTAGTATTCAAAAATTATACAGAAATTGGAAAAAGACAAAAGACGAACAAGAATATGATATGAAGTATCATAAGAGTAATGTAAATTTATAATAGAATATCATTATGCAAGTAATATTGAAGCTAAATTTGTTATTATTTTTATAGATGTAGATTTGAGTAGCAAATTACTAATAGCAACACAATTGGCAAGAGAAAAACAACAAGAAAAATATTTAAGAGAAAGAGAATTAGCTTTGGAGAAAGAAAAAGAGGTTTATAATTTAACTTGAATTATTTTCTTATTTTTACTATCAAGATGATTAATTTTTTATTTTTTAAATTTGACATCCTAGAGAGTAGAAAAAAAGAGACAAGAAGTTCTTAGGTTGGAAGAGCAACGTTCTTCAGGTACTCGCTTAGGGAATTCATCAGAAGGGGCTGCTGGACCATCAAAATCAACATTGAAAGGAGGTATAGTTTAACTTTTAGTCAAATGAATAAAGAATTTGATATTAATGTCAAGATATTCTACTTCAATATTTGTATTGCAGAATATAATCCATTGATGGGTGAATCTAGTAAAAGGTACATACCCCCAAAACGATCTTGTTGTAAAAAAGGTGGATGTGGATAAATTAAAATAAATTAAAATAAATTAAAATTAACTCTATTTGTGGATGGAAAATGACAACTGGATATGGCATAATTAAATTTTGTAATCATAATTAAATGACAAGTTTTAAGGATAAATATTAATTAACATTAAATACGTTTTGCTTAAAAGGTGTATTACATTCTTTAAAATATTTCCACTTATTTTTGTTAATAACAAAATAAGGGTAATATAATAATTATTTATCACTTTTATAATAATTATTTTTTAGTTATCATTAATTATCATAATTGATAGATTAGATCAATAAAATAAATTTTAAAAAATTGTATCTTTTGAATACAGAACCTCGTTTTTTGAAGATATGAGGTATAACGAATAAAACATAAAAATAATACATTAATAGTTTTAGCACATGATTATTGTTAATAAAAATAAATCTTTTAAAAGCAATATAATTAAGTACTTTTAATGCGATCTCATTTACAACGTGTCTCACATTCGCAAAATGAAAATTTGTTTTAAAAATTGTTTAAAAATAATGTACTTTTTTGTGGTATCGAATCTAATTTACAATTATTAAAATATGTAAATGTGTTGTAGAAAAATTGGATATAAGTGAATAGAGAAATAATTAATTTAATTGTCGAAAACTTTTTAATTAATTATTATTTGGTCTAAAAATGAATAGGAGTGCCCTTTGTATACAGAATAAGCCCACCAAGTTATAAAGAAATCGGTTACCCGAAGGTTAACCTCCAGGCGGCCGGAATTTGTAAATTTTTTCCTAGAAAAAGTTCCAAATCATTTAGTAATGTGGCTCCACCTTGAGATAATGACGATCGGTATTACTCCGGTCGCTTGCCGATTAAAAAAATTTAATCTTCAATTTTAACCTGTTAACCGAGCGGGACGTATAAATACATACGTCAAAAGTAAACAATATCGGGTACGGGTAGGACATATGAATACGTCCTCGATATTTATATTGCGCGGATATTTATGGAACGGGCGGGACGTATATTTTACTACTACTATGGTAATACGTCATTCATACACGCTTAGTGGAAAGGACGCGCCCGTTATATGTTGCGTAATTAGAAAGGGATTTCCCCGGTTAACAGGTTAATAAAAACCAGCGGAATATGAAAGGTATATTGCTTTACTCTTTAAAAATGACCCCCTTGGATTCTTCTGCGACCATTTTAGACGGCGCTACAAAACTGAATTTTCACTGATTTTTTTTTTTTTGCCAAAAACTTATGCACCACTATATACTAGGTCTGGCTATTAAATAACATAACTGCGCTCTAAAAGGGCGGGGGGGGGGAGTAGTACGTTGGGTAGCTTGAAATTTTCTCTATTCACGTACCGAAACACGTTTTCTTAACTATTATAGTATTTGTGCAGTAGCGATTTGAAACGAACGTATTTTTTTCTCGTCCCGAAAACCATGTGTGACGAAAAACACGAGCAACGTATCAATTTCAAATTTTGCGTTAAATTGAAAAAAACTCCAACAGAGTGCTATAAATTGTTGCAACATGCATATGGGGACAATTCTCTATCTCATGCGCGTGTTTATGAGGTGTAAAGGGGCGAGAGAGCACTGAAGATGACCAGCGCCCAGGTCCCCCTGTTACTATTTCAACTCCGGAAAGTGACCAAAATCAACCAAATTGTGCGTGCAGATCGTCGAATGAACATCCGGATGATTGCCGAGGCTGTAAACGCCAATAAAGAAACGGTTAGAACAATTTTACATGAGGAATTACACATGACAAAAATCTGTGCGAAGTTGGTGTTAAAAAACCTGACTTCTGACCAAAAACTCTTGCGTCAATAAAAGATCCCGGGCTGACGAAAAACATTATTACTTGCGACGAAACGTGGCTTTTTCAATACGATCTTGAAACAAAGCGGCAATCGATGCATTGGAAGACGCCTGAATCGCCCAGAATCAAAAAAGCAAGGATGTCTAAATCAAAATTTAAAACAATGTTAATCGTTTTTTTTACTTTAACGGTATCGTGATGATGAATGGATTCCAGAGGATCAGACTGTTAACCAGATTTACTATTTATCAATTTTGGCAACACTGCAAGAACAAGTTCGTAAGAAATGGCCCGAGTTGTGGAAGAACAACTCGTGAATTTTGTACCAGGACAACGCACCTGCCCATAACACGCTATCTATGAAGCGGTATTTGGCTGATAAACGCACTCCAGTGCTCGAAAACGCGCCATACTCGCCGGATTTGGCACCGTGCGATTTCTTTTTCCGAAGATAAAATCTGCTTTGAAAGGGACCCGAGTCGATGCAAGCGGTAAAGAAAACAACGGCAGAGCTCCTAAAGGCCCTCACCAAAGAAGATTTTCAGCACTGTTTCGGTCAATGGAAAAAAAAGTATGGAAAGGTGTGTGGCGAGGGAAGAGGAGTATACATTGTAGGGAGCATTTGAATGTAGAATAGTTTTTATAATAAAACCCTTTTTCGTAACCGGTCTCGTTATTTAATAGTCAGATCTCGTATACAAGGCACTAAGATTTTGTAATGAATAATGAAAACTTCTTATAAAAAAGACTGACTATATAACAACTAAAAAGTATTAAAAAGTCCTTATAAGAAGTAAGTGCATACATTTAATTTAATAATTTTGTAAGTTTGTATCCGTTATTGGCCACGTAAATTAAGTGTTTCTATGTTATATTGTTTATTATTACGTCATCAACTTACTATAGCAATAAGACGGCGATTCATGAATTGTAAAATAAATAATAGGGTCAACTAAATATATTATATTCATATAATAGAAATATCTGTGAAAATAAGCGACAGTTAAGCATTAAGAAATAATTTTCTATAATTTCACAAAAGCAAAATTCTATTAAACTTTTGACAATCTTAGGGAAGGAAAAGGAAGCAGTAAACGATGTTACTCAACAAATAAAGTTTGTAACATTACTTTTATTAATTATTATCGGTATATAATATGCAGTGATATACGTACACAGTATTCGACAATAGTGATTTTTAAGAATTATCTACAGTCATTATTCTGTGTGTTCTTACTACGTTCAATATTATTCGCCTTGTTTTTAATCCAAATCGGTTCAAATCACACTTTTCATTATTACCAATTAATTAAAGTTTAATAATAAATACTTTATTTTCTATATAAAACATACAGCTTTCGTTTTTCTCTCGATCTCGTTTATCGCGTTTAATGTTTATATTTACAAAGTGTGTGATAAAAAAATCGTTATAAAAAACCATTGTCAATCTACATAGTAGAGAAACTTTTCCACAAAGTAAAAACCGCTTAAACAATCTAAAATTTTGTAAGTATGACAACATCGAAAATAATCGAATACACATGCATGTATTTAAAACGGTTACATAAATATTACGAAATTCAAATAAAAATAACTATTACAAAAAGAAAACGTTTAAAACGCCACTTACGCTTCACATTATTATGAATAAATACTTGTTATAAATTATTCAGATTTGATCTAAAGTAATGTAATATTAAAAAAGTTTCGCTCGATTGCCACAATAAAAACTGTTTGCAACATGCTGCTTTTTAAGACCGCGGGTTCACAATCAATTTTTGTATATAAATATCAATAGATTTTACTAATTGAATATTGGTGTTGATACTATATACATTTACCAGAGCAATATGATTATATTGCATTAATTAAATGCATCAGGATAACTGTATTGTAAAATGCAGTTTACTAGGCAGACTATTTCAACATGTTTGACTTACAGTTGAAAAGATGCAATTGATTATTTAGACGGTTCAGTAACGTAATCGATGACTTATCCATATTATAAAAAGCAGCAATAAAAATAGAACCCAAAGATGATTTTTTCAAATTTTTTAGTGAAAATTTATCGATACAACGATTTGCACACGCAGTCTGAAGCATGTTGTCAAAAATTGTTAAGCTAAATTTGAAATTAGAATCAACGGTCATTCTTATTGTATACAAAATAATTGTACATTTTCTTCTCAATAATATGTCACTTGTGCACGCTAAAATGGTGGTATTACTTATAAAGTTTAGTGAATTGGCAGTAGATCTGCAGTACGTTTGTCAAAAGTAGTCTTTTTTATGAATATATATGCGTTTTGTTGTCCGTTTATTTAGTTCATTTCATATAAGCCTTTATTAAGAGAACGACATCGGTAAGTCGATGTGTCATCTCACCACCTAATATACACTGAGTTAATTACATTAAATTTGAGCGGTTACATTGTTTCCAAAGTTCTGCTTCTATAATTTTTAATTTGTTTTTCCACGTACATTAATTGGATTCATGCTAGAGTCGGCTACGCTGGCAGAACAACGCATCAAGGTTTATCCGCGAATCCAGTTACTTTGAAACGTGCTATATACCCCATTGTACAATCGCTAAAACATAGCATAAATTATTTTGTGCTACTCGTTAGTGTATAGAGGTCGGCGTTTCCTTACAATATTTTGTTTATTTACATTTGCTATTTATACTTTTCAACCCAGTAACAATCAAGTTGTAAAATACAAGTAAACAGTATTGGCATATAAAAATCGTTATAACGGTCGCTAACGTGGCGTTAACTTTTTAATTCAAAGTATAAAAAAGCTTGTAAAGAAGTTTTTTTTTCCATATTAATATCAGTAACAACAGTCATATTGATTAGTCGTCTACAGAATCGCAACGAGTAAAACAATATATCATTTATCGCATAAGTTATTTCTTTTGTTTTTTTATCGATAGAATGGAAGGACGCAGTAGTGACAGGCTATAATCTAAACTTATATTCATATATATATATATATATATATATATATATATATATATATATTTATATATATATATATACTGTACATCGGCTCGAAAAAAATAAAGTTAAAAAAATTCGTTAAGCGAAGCTCTTCTTTTGTATGCATATGGCAGCGCTTCTCTAGCGTTCTTCAAATAGCTAAGTTTAGAAATTGTGTACACCTTAGAGCGTTAAAAAGAACACGAAGATAATAAGAAAGTATAAACAACGTGAACCGCTTACGTTCGGCTTTTCACATGATGTATAATAACATAATCACATTCTTACTGAATTGTCGGGGGAGAGTTACCTCAGTAGCCATATGATCCCCATAGAACTTCCATTAGCATCTACATCGCGACGTGTTATATTAATAACTAATGACTATTATCCATCTGCTCCAATTCTCGACACTGTACAATGTTTACAAAAATCACTTGATATGATTAATACACCTTCGAGCGCGCACTTTAGGTCGCCTTACTCTATAACAACACTCGGTAGTGAGTAAGTAGGTTTATTGCGCTCTGGAAGAAGCTCCCGAGATTTCGCCTCCCTCTCTCTCTTGCTTTCTCTATTTCAAAGAAGATTGTAGGAACGTTCTTATCTAAAATATAAACGTGCACATCTTGTCAGCAGCGTCACATCGATCGCCAATTCACTAGTTCGTCAAAGCCGTCGTGCAAAAATAGCCACTCTCGCGGAGCTTGTCGACGCTCGATGACAAAAAATTAAAAAAAAAATAAAAGAAAGAGCGCACGAAGATTCCAGCGATTAGATCGCACAAGTGTTCGTTACAGAACGAACGGTCCGGAACGAAAGTCGATCAGGAGATTCGCATAAAAGTGTTGGCCCGGTGGAGCTGCTGTCGAATCATCTATGTACAGTGAGTATGATGCCCCGGGCAACGGCAGGTGGAACTTAGCTGTCGCGATGGTCGTTAAGCCGAGAGCTCTCCGAGGGGTTGCTGCTGAAGAGACTGTTGAGCTTGTTGTAGCGTTGGCTGCTCGAGCTGCCTATCGAGTTGGTCGCCGACGAGTTGTGCTGCGGGTAGACCCCTGATCTCGTGAAGCTAGGCACTTTGTCTGAAAAAGTGAGGAAACGTTAATGGCTGAGCTCAGTCGGAGTCGGAAAATCGTGCAGCGCATGAAGGCGAATGGAACCAACCTTTGCTGCGGGTATGCCTGAGCCGATCCTGAGAATTGGCCGAGGGACAGGCCCGCTGAGGAATGCAGGAGTAGTTACTGTCGGTGCTATAGGTTGGGGAGGAGGACCTGTTGCGCCGTCTGGGACTGCGGTTGTTGCGAGTTCGCGAGCCAGTGCTGCGGTTGCCGGTATTGTTAGCGCACGACGAGGCACTCAGTTGCAGAGGCTGTTGCTGCTGCTGCTGCTGCTGCTGCTGCTGCTGCTGCTGCTGCTGCTGCTGCTGCTGCTGCTGCTGCTGCGGCTGCGGCTGTCCGCCGGCAAACTGATTGTTATACTCCATGGTATCAGCGTAAAGGCAACTCGACTCGGAGCACGAGCAACACATATCCGAGTGGGTATTGGAGTCGCACGATTTACGGTCCCACTCGTCGTTATCCGGCTGGTAGAGGTGGTCGTTTCGGAAGAGATCGCCATTGAGGCGAAAGGCCTCGTTACCGTAGCTAGTCTCCTGATTACGGAAGTCGTCAAGATGGTTGTTCTGGTGATGACCGTAGATGAGCGAACCGCTCTCGTATTCGTTTTCCTGGGCCTTGTACAGGTCGTAGTGGTTGAAGTTGGTGGGAAACGATGGCACGGGTGGAGGGTTGGTTTGCGGCGGTAACGTGGTGTACCTAGAATTCTGTTGCTGCTGCGACTGCTGCTGTTGTTGTTGTTGCTGTTGCTGCTGCTGCTGCTGCTGGGGCTCATTCCAAGGCGTCGGTGAGCCGGAAAAGTTGTTACCAACGCGAATCGGTGGCGTTGGTGGACTCTGCGACTTGCCGCTCGAGTCGATGCCGTTCTGCGTAGCGTTGCGCTTGCCCAGATGAGGGCTGAACGCCGCGTTTTGTTGCTGGATTCGGTTGGGCAGTGTGTTGCCGGGCGGAGGCGGATGCTCCGGAGGTGGAGGCAGCATGTCGCACCAGTTGGGCAGCGTCTGCGACTGCGACTCCGAGGTTGTCAGCTGGGGCTGTTGACCTCGATAGTTGCCTCTTCGGTCGGCGTTCTCATCCGTGTACACGCTGCTCGCGTTGTCGCTGCTCGGTGACATGGTCGACTTGTTGTGGTCCTGCGCCGACTCGAGACTCGAGTAGTCGGGCTTGATGCACGAGTCACTCGAGTTTGACTTGTGGCCGCTGGTTTCCATGGACTCAGGGCTACGGTTCGCCACGCACAATGTCGTCGTGGCATAGGGTTCGGGAGGCGCGGATGGCTTTCTCGTGTTGTAGAACGTCGTGAGATTGACTTCGGCGTATTCCGAGCCAGCCATGCTCACGATGCCCGGAGCGATCATGTGATTGTTCAAGAGCTTCGTCTCGCAGTCCTTGTCACCGCCGCTTTGCAAGCTGTTTGTCGGCCTCCAGCCACGTTCTAACCAAAGCGTGTCTTTGTTCAGTTGGCAGATGTCGTTAGCCGTGCCCACCGGTACGTTCAAGTGGCCGAGTTGCTTACTCATGGCTTGGCGTCTTTTGACGTAAACTGCCCCTAGGAGGGCAGCTATCACGCTGAACACCATCATGATCATGAGCACGAGGAACCAGGTTTCTTTGACGACCGAGTTATTGTTGAAGTTGGGATCGCTGCGAGGAGGATTCTGAGTCATCTGTCCCGGGTCCATGCTCAGAAGCGTTGGACTGGAGAAAGGGCCAGTTCCGGCGTGCGTAGTACCAGCAACTCGAGCGGTATATATGTTGCCCGAGGTTAGACTGTTGATGATCACCGACGTCGTCGAAGCGTTCAGTGACATCTGGCCCAGGATTTTGTTGCTACTGTTACTCTTGATTTGAATTTTGTAACCAGTGAGCTGGCCATTGTGATGATTTTTTGGCGGTGGTTCCCATCTAACGTAGGCGGAGGTCGAGTTGATCATACCGACGTGAACGTTATCGGGTGGTGCCGAGGGCACGTCCTCGAGGGTCATTGCAGATTTCACGTTGCTCGGTCGACCCTCGATGGTTTTGTAGAATGGCACCAAGAAGAACTCGTAGCGCGTAAACTTTTTAAGATCGGTAAGCACGTAGCTAGTTGCTCCAGCGTTCATTACAGTGACCATCTGGTACTCGGGTGGTTTGTCTGACACCTCGCGATAGCGAATGTATAAGCCATCTACCAAGTCTGGCGCTCCAAGAATCTATAAGAAATGTAATTGGAATTAGTCAAGGAATCAATAGAACTTTAAAATGTAAACAGATTACCGTATTGTATTTGATACTCACGCCCCAGATAATCTTAACGCTGGTGCTGCTGAGAGAAATGACGTCGCTGAGCTGAAGAATTTCACTGTTGAGACGATCCCGAGCGCGAATCAGTTCCGTTTGAGGCACCGTATGTTGATCGACGCTCATCGTATGAGCCACGTCTGACAGCGGACCTGGCAGTGACAGACCATGACTATTTTCTGCTCGAACCAGGAAAACGTAATTGGTATCGGGCTTCAAATCGGATACCTGAAACGAAACAGTACATTCGGACGTTGAGTTTTCAAGAAAAGATGGGCAAAAGAAGAGACACCAGCGAGAAACTCACGGTAAAGGTGTCCTCGGCGATCCCATTGGCAGCAACAACCCAGCCGGTGTTGAGATTACTGCTGAAATACTCGACGTGGTAGCCAGTAATCTTGCTGGCACCATCGTGACCGGGACTCCAAGTGATGGTGACAGAGTGACTGGTGGTATTTACGATCCTCGGCTTGCTCGGATTCTGGGGCAGTTCCGAGATATCGGGAGTCCTATGCAACGTCGTGGTGGCGCTGATCGACAAAGCTGCTGACCAAGATGTATTGCCGGATTCGGACGAAGCGATGCACGTATACATGCCAGCGTCGGTCTTCTGCAGATCGTCGATGAACAGAGTACCGTTGCTCGCCATCGTTATTCTATTGCCTAGTTGCACCAACTGGCCGTTTTTGTGCCAGTTGATCTTGGGAGTAGGCGTGCCGACGGCTCGGCATGGCAGTGAGGCTTGGCTCTTCAGTGGCAGCGTTTGATTCGCTGGGCCAAGCTCGATTATCGGCGGTGGCACCTCGTCCGTCGATAGTACCTGTCGGAGAGTAGCGATCATTTTTATAAACATTTCCGTAAGCTTTCGTTTCCGAGAGCTCGACTTCTTTAGTTTACTTTGAATATTGCATTTGCTCGGACAGTTCAATGCTTATACGAAAGCAGAAAAGCAAACACGCTCCGTACATATTTAGCCGCGCAGTTAGTTTCGCGAGATTTTTATACCTACCATCGCGAGTTAAAAGTACAGATTTTCAAACAATATTATTTACTTTCACGCAGCTATCCCTCGCCGCAGCGCTCGCTATGACTAGATCAACAAGAGAGATTTCGCGTGTCTGCAACTAGCTTGCCAACTTGGTTCGGTATTTTCACGGGAGAATTTATACAGCTCCATCAAAAGTACACATTGCAGCTGTTTTCCTTTCTGCGAAATGAATTTTCGGACGCGCGCGCGTGCGACGCGAAAAATTTCATCACGATGGCCGTTGGGAAATATTTTTTTCTTTTGAAAAATCGCACAGTGGTCAGTAAAAAGAATACTACTCACGGCGAGGAAGACTGTGGCAGTGGTAGCACCGACTTGGCTGATGGCGCTGCACACGTAGTGACCCTCGTCCTTGCGTTGGATCTGTTTAATGTGCAGGCTACCGTCCTCGCTGACGGTGTAGCGTTCCTGGTACGAGTGGCCAGGAAACATCAGCTCCTGCGAGCCCTCGCGAGTCCAGAATATCGACGGCGCGGGAACTCCCTTGGCCGAGCACGCGAACGTCACGTCTGTGCCTGGATTCACCGACTCGTCCTTTGGGAAATTGGTGAATACCGGCCGGGCTGCAATGTTACAAAACGCACGCATTGGTCGCCTCGTAAAATGACTGGCCGTCTAATTTCGTAGGTGGAAGACTCACAGTGCACGGTGAGCGTTGCACTCGCTGAGATAGCTCCGACGCCATTCTGGGCTTCGCAGATATAGGTGCCTTGGTCGGCGGGCATGACACGCTCTATTCGCAGTCCCTTGTCGTCGAGTATGTGACCGCGACCGATCGGCATTTTACCATCGTGCCGGCGCCACAGAATCTCTGGCGGTGGGTCACCGCCTACGCGGCATATAAACTCCGCGGTCTGGTCCATGAGGATTGTCTGATTTAAGGGCGTTTTCAGGAAGTACGGCTTCACTGTAATTATGGATTCGTGTGTTACTCATTGCTTCGACAATTGTTGCTGCGTTAAGCAGATATTTTCTTCGTCTTACCATTGACGGTGAGAATTCCTATCGCTGACTCTCGAGAGCCAACGATGTTCGAAACGACGCATTGGTACTTTCCTTGGTCGGACTGTTTCACATCGGTTATCATCAAGTTGCCTCCATCAAGGAGTGACATCCTGTTAAAAAAATATTGGATCACGTTAATCATACGTTCAAATCGGCTGAGTTTTTATGATACGTTGGTTTTATATAATAATCAGTAGTAAAACTGAATTTGGTCAGACAATCTTGTGAGCCGAACTAGAACTGAGTACAATAGTTGATTGTTGAACTTTTACTGAAATAACTTCGAGTAATTTTCTGATTACATCGAGTATTGTTCCTACGTGTGCTATCAAAATGCACACAAATAAATTGACTTCTATCGAGCATTCAAGCCAAGTAATTCTATTGATACGGTTCCAACGAAAACGAAAAGAGTTAAGCCAAAAATATGTAACTCTCGCGCAAGATGCATAAAGAAATTCTTGTCAGGTCTTTTGATACAAGAGGTCCTTTTGTGCAAAGGCTGAAGCCATAGAAGAGGCTCAGGAATGCAGGAGCGCAAGGTGAATCGATAGCCGGCCAATTGTGTCCTCTAATTTATAGTATCAATTAATTTGAGCGTCGCCCAGGTAGTGAGAGAGCGGCTTTCATTTCTATTAGTGGCTCCAATTTATCGGTGCCGCTCAATCAACGTCGGCACGATCGATTCGCAAACAAAAGGAACGCCACGGCTGAAAGGCCGCGCTGTTGGGAAAATATATACACCTGCAGGTTTAATCGTCGACAGACTTTACAGGTACAAAGGACGCGCGGTCACAAAGAGCAAGTCGATTGTTTCACGTTGATCCATTAAACGATCTTTAATTAATTTGGCATTGACGCGTCGTAATGGAATATTGCCAAGTGAAAAAATGCAAGATTTTGTCCGGGGACCAACGAAGCTCGTAGCTTCGTCTTTCGAATGTGGCACTTGTCGAAGTCATTAGGCAAAGTGGAAAATTTAACGAGGGCAGGAAGGAAGGAAGGAACGAACCTATTAGCAAATTAAACGGACAGGCGGCTTCTATACTAGACGACGCGACACAAAGGCCAAAGTTTGAAGCTCTCGGGATCTTTCGCCCTTAGCTAGACGGACAGTTTCGTTTAGGCCACGGCAAACTGTGCCCGAGGTGGATCGCTTTGAAAAGCGCACATCTTTTTTCAAATGTATTCCTTTGGTGCGCAGTGTGGATTATTAAAACACAACTGGGTTATACGGCGGCCCCGGTAATTTAATTGGATTTTTATACAATCCGAGCGGCGACAAAGCGCTTGTTTTTATTTAATAAATCTGCATTTAAATGGGAGGCTGCACTCTGGCAAACGGGCTTCGCTTTGTTTTTGTCGCGAAAGAATCCTTTTATTAAAAAATAACGTTTTTATTTGCGTGCTTGCCGCGGCCGCTGCGCGAGCGCGCTTCAAATGCACGCAGCGCCGAGAAACGCGATATTAATTAAAAATCATGGCGACCCGTATTGAATGCCAGGAGAAAGGGCTTCGCGTATATATATCGCCAATTTACCGATTGAATATCCATGACGCGTGCGCGAGTGATACCCTTTATCTCTTTTTCCTATCGGCAATGTACGCCTACTATTTTCATCTTGCGTGCCGGATGCAAATGCTCTCAGGAAAATGAAAGAGAGAGAGAGAGAGAGAGAGTTGCAGCCGGAAATCAGAGAGCTTTTTAGCGCAAGCAAAATATTCGCGTTTGAAAATACACGGAGCGCGTAGCTCGCGTGGGAAACTCGATATACTATCGTGTTGCTTTTCGGGTCGCCGCCGCGCCGCTGCGCCGCCGGGAAAGCCCTGAAGCCGAGTAAAGCGCGGGATAAATTCCATTTTGGAATAGTTTCTGCTACGGCCGAAACGTCGGATTTCCTTTTCACGCGCCGGCTATTACGATAATCGAAAAAAACCGTGCAAATAAAAGAGCAGCGAATATGAAATTGCAGCTGCGAACAAAGACGCGTTCGGGCGTCGTATATCTGTTTGGTTGGCGCGCGCGACGAGTACACGTCGCAGGGTTCGAGATAACCGGAGCCCGGTGTGCGGCCAAGAATAATGGGAGGACATCCTTTAGCGACCATTCTCATGCAAATATCCCGCCAGATTACGGCCGTTTGTGCGGATTATTCTTTCATTGGTTGGCGACTCTCTCTCTCTCTCTCTCTCTCTCTCTCTCTCTCTCTCTCTCTCTCTCTCTCTCTCTCTCTCTCTCGTAGCTGCCTGACACGCTCCCCGGCGACGTTTGGAATAACAATTACGACAAATTTCCCGGAGGACCTGCCTCTTTACGCCTTTTCCCTCTCTGCTGCTACCGTTTTTTTCCTCCCACAGGATTGGCCTCGCTTATGTATTCGCTGAATTTCACCGCCGGTTCACTCCCTGATAAGATGAATTATTTCTATTTGAACCGTCGCCTTTTTATGTATACGTAAATTCTACTCGCCGAGCCTGCGCTCGGATTAATCAACTCCGTTTATTCCGGCTCTCGTTATTTTTGCTTTCTTGATGGTTACCTCATTGTTTGATCTTTGATGTGCTGATTCGAGCCGAGTTTTGGAAAGGAAACGCTGGGCGACTGCGAGAAAGCGGAAGAACAGCGGTTAACGCGAATGTACATGGAGGGGGGAGGCAAGCGCGTAGGTAGAGGCTTATCGGGGCGCGAGCAAAAGTGAATTTGGCCGCGCGATATCGAGCGAAGCGAAGCAAAACTGGCTTACAAGTTTGGGCTGCTAGCAGCTAGCGCGCCGCTGTTGCTCGCGAGCGCGAGTCTTCGGGAATTTCGTCTGGCTAAGCTAAGCGCGCCAAATTCATAGTTTCAGCAGAAACAACAACCTAACAAGAAACAAGAGCCACAAGTTAGAGTTTAAAGTCAAAAGTATATATAGCGCCGGAGCTGCCGCGTCCTCGCGTCGTCGTCGCGTCGTCGGGCACAGCTGTGCGCTTCGCGCGCGCGCCTTCGGAAACTTACCGTTTGTTGCTGTCCAAGTCTATGGGGTGGCCGTTCTTCTTCCACTGCAGTACTGGCTCGGGATGCCCTCGCGGCGGGCCGCACTCCAACAGTGCTGTCTCGCCCGCGGCTACCCGCGTGTTCTGCGGCTCCACGCGGAAATCCTCGCGCAGCACTGCAAACATATACAAGATATAGCGGTAGTTGCCACTTGCTCTCCCTCTCTCTCTCTCTCTCTCTCTCTCTCTCTCTCTCTCGTGCGCGTTCGTTCAGTTGTGAAACAAAGACACAGTCAATTGCTCTTGCAACGCACGGATGTGATATCTTTTTTATGGGGTGGCCGTGCATTTGTTCCGCTTCTCGCGCTCTTGCTGATTTTCACTCGAAACAATCGGAGATACCGATAAAATTCCATCGAATTGATTTCCTTTTTATTGCACTTATTCTACCCGCCATTGCTAATCAAAGCGTGCGATAGATCACCGAACATTTTTCCCTAAATTATTTGCGTGAAAAGAATTGCACGCATAGCATAGGCAGAAACGCAAACACGTTGGCAAAGGAAAAGTTTAGCGCCAAATCGATCCCGGACGAAGCTGTTGAGCGATGTACTCTGAGCGATATATGTATATATATATACCGGCCGATAATCTCAGCGGATGTCGCGGAAAAAGACGCAATGGCGAAAATTCGACAAACACTTTTCACCGTGCTGTGTGTGTATGTACTCACGCGACGTAAATCGATTGTAACGCCATTTCTCAGAGAGCGAATCCATTCAACGACTCGTGTATGTACGTATGTACGTGTGTGCAAGTCGCTCGATTTTTCCGATTTTGCCGAGGGGGTTCTCTCTCTCTCTCTCTCTCTTTTTCTCTCTCGTGTGCGCTCGATGTATTGAAGGAATTCCGAGCGCTGAAATGCATTTCCCGGCAGGCGGAGCGTTTGATTTGCCATTCAACGAACCCGTTCATTTGGCTAATATTTTACGAGCTCTATACTCTCATGAATTTATTCGACGTGCACGTCGCTTTTTATTACTATTTCTTTCTCTCCTCTATTCATCTCGTGCTCACCAAAGCCTCGACGAATATTTGGGAAGTGGCGAATTGTTTCGTTTGGCAAAACGATGCAAATTAATCGCATTTCCTCGACAAAGATAACAAAAATGCGAGAAAAAGAGAGAGAGAGAGAGTCCAGGCAATGGAATCCAGCAGCAGTAGCGGGTAAATGCGCGAGAAATTTCAATGAAAATCCGGAATGAAAAAGAAAAAAAGAAACGGAATATGGCGGCGCTAGAGCACGGGATTGAACGCGGAATGCATGCAAATGCTAACGCATACGCGAGTTCGCAAAAGGGCACGTAACCTGCGGGTACGTGAATTCATTTTTTTCCATTTCTCTCTCTCTCTCTCTCTCTCTCTCTCTCTCTCTCTCTCTCTCTACCTTCGACCAGAATTTACACGCACACGCGTTTATCGGCACAGAGTCTCGGCGTTGTACTATTACCATTTATCACGCGAGAGCCATTTAGGAAATGTCGCTTGCTAACAGAACGCGCACGCGTCTATATACGCGTCAAAGTCATTCGTCCCTCCGCGAGTTTACCCTCCATCTAGCTAGATTTCCGTTTGCGATTTTTTTTTCCTCCAGACGAGGCTTTGTGCTCGTCTCGAGGAAGAGAGCGCATTAGGGCGAGGAAGCAGTGAGCACACGCGGAAGGGAGGCTTTTAATTTGCAGTGCGTCGAAGGGTTGCCAGCGAAATGGAATTCCTCTTTCACTCGGCTCCGGCCTGCCAGGTCAACGCTGCTAAATCTTAAAGCCTTGGCTCAGACAATGGACGGGATAGGCCTCAAGAAATAGATAGGCGACAGTCACGAGATTCGCTAATGGAAGACAATCCGACGTACGTGTAGCCTACTTTTTTCAAATTATTTATACGCTGCATTGTGCGGCTCGGCAGCTCGAGCGGCAAAATTCAGAAGAGCGCACCAAGGCGCTAGCAAAAGGCTGAGACTGGCGCTGGCGATTGAAAAAGCGCGAGGAATAGACGACGGCGGCAGGCGATAGTACATCGCGCGAGACGCCTCTTCGGCAAGCACAATGGCCTCGGCTTTCATTTCGAAATTGGATCTCGGATCTGCCGCCGCTGCCTCGCCCTTTCGGAGTCGGCGTAGACGCACGTCTTTTGTGAATCGCACGGCCGAATCAAGAACCGCGTTAATCCTGCCGGCGAGAGGCCTACCGACGATAAATCCTCGAGATAACGCTGCGAAACTGACGCTTCGATTCCGCAAGACATTGCGCACGGCGTTCGCCGCCCTTCTCGCGGGCGTGCCTCTCGTTTCGCAGCCGCGGCAGCGCTCGCTCATCCCCCGCCTCCTTTCTTTTACGTCCTGCCGTCAACGACTGCCTGAAAATTGTAAATAAGAGAATCTATTTCGGTCGGGATCAAGTGGAATAATGGCGCGAGAAGGTAAGAAAACGCACAGCTGCGAAGAGCTTAATTATGTGGGAGGAAGGAGCGAGGAGATGGAGGTTTCGGTGAACATCCGCTTCTCCTTTTTCTCGGCTCGCGGTGTTTGCGTCCAACGAGGACAGCTTCGCAAATGAAGAGCTTGAAAAAAATAGAAATAAATGGACGCGCTGCAGAGCAGCGAAATGTGCCGGGCGGGCCCGCGAGTGAAAAGAAAGAGCAAGTCAATTGCGACGGGAAATCGAGAGAGACGAGGCAGTACCCGAACGGCAAGGGTAATAGATGAGTCGCGCAATAGGCGAGTCGCGCGCGCGAAAAGAGAAAAAGAAATGCGCGCGCCATGCATTGGCCCTGCATAACTCGCGGAGCCAGAGCGAGCCTGGTCGTTCAAACTCGGCATTCGCGACACGCTCTCCTTCCCTCTCCGTCGCTGACGTACGGCCGGCGCGTGACCGGCCGCCGCTTCGCTCGGTGCAGGTCCCGATACATCTCCGAGAGAGAATTGTGCCGTCGCCTCGAGGATATATGGCGCAGCTCGAGCGAGATACGTCCGACACGTACTACGCCAGGCCGCATACTGGGTCAACACACGCGGCCCACCCGAGCTCGCCGTGGCTTTCAATTGCCACCCGCGAACTTGGCGCGCACGAGCAGCTTCTTTCCCTTCGAACTGCTGCCGAATGCAACGTGCTGCCGCGTGCTTTCGATTGATTCGCCGGGCCGTCAAGGTGATTCGGATGGCAGGGCTCTTCGTCACGACCGACTCTCTCTCTCTCTCTCTCTCTCTCTCTCTCTCTCTCTCTCTCTCTCTCTCTCTCTCTCTCTCTCTCTCTCTCGAGGCTTTATGGGGCGGAAAGCCACGATGATTTTCGGGTCGCTACTCGAGCTACAGAGAGACGCTCTATTGCACGGCGATAATGACCAGTGCGCTCGAGAATCGATGAGTTATGAGCTGCGAGAATCGATATGTGCGCGCTCTCTCGACGACGCCACTCTGTTGCGCTTTCCACCGCTGCCAATTTCTCATTGCCGGTACTTTCTTAATTCTGCCTTTCATAAGGGCCGTCGTTTGCACATTAATCGAATATTCATCGTACCACCTTAGCCATTGCGTGACTCGTTTTATCCTCGACACAACTGACCGAATTAAATGTTTGCATTGATCGATCGAGTAGATTCTTCTGTTTCTGGAAGGTCGTTCAATTTTCAATCACGTTAAACGATTGTTCCAATAACGTCGGTCACGCTGACAATTGCCTGACTTTCTTCGAAATCGAATTCCACGGCAGAACAATAAGATCTGCTCTCGATTAAGAGCTGAACTGTCGGGTGTGGCATACCATCGAAAAACTGATAAGCGAAAATTGAATGAGCGCTTGCGCGTCGCGCGACCACAAGAACAAATCGCCCAAAGCTCGAGGCTACTCAGAGTACGCACTACGAGGGGAGTTCTGAAATTACAGTTGCGCGCGGACAATATGCTCATTACACTTGGGGCGCCGATACGATAATACGGTCGTGCGCGCGCGCACGCACATCTAGAGAGCACAAGGAAGATACGTCGGCGCTTGTTGGGGCGCCTCCTGGCTTCTGACTCGAGACGCAGTCGCGCGCGTACCAACTCTCCGTGGCGTAGTATCGCCCGGGCACGAGATAGCAAATTGGTTTTAACTTTGCTAGCAGACTTCGTTATTTTAAATTGAAAAATAATATTGTCGGTAACGATGCCAATCTTTGGAGCGAGCAAGTCGATACCCCGGCTGTGCAACTTTCGAAAGTTGGGCAAACATCTAGTCCATTAGTTCGGCGCCACCGCCGTTCTCAGAATGCCAAACCGAGCACTAGTTCTTCATTAAATATGAAAATCCGGCTTTGAGAGGCGTAATTTGCGAAACTTACACTCCGCGTCGCCGTCGTTATTATCATTATTCTGCTCGTTATTATTATTAGCCGGCAAAGGGGGTGCCCTGGAGGAGAAAAAAAACTTGAGCAGTTTTAATGGTGTGTCTCTCGTGTGCGCGTCCAAGTTTTTGGTGAGAACTGCTGCGCGCGGTTTTAATCGTTCCGGCCGATTAGAGCTTAGCTGCTGCTGCTCCTGCTGCACGTGCGGAAGTTATCGCGGTCGGAAGAAAGACAAAGAGCCCGCTGGCCAGTCGTTCGACCCGCCGCCACGCCGGCTAATGCCTGCGGGGGAGCAATGTTTATATTAATGCTTCTCTCTCGTTCTACAAGGGAGAAACTCTCGAGGGTGGGTGCACGTTGGCTCGATAGAGATGTACCGAGGGAGGGTGCACCGTGCGGGTAGTTGACGAGCTTCGCGCGCGTAAATAAAGAATTCAAGGTAAATAGTAGTAGCACGGCTGTGCTGCGCGCGCTGACGGAATAACCAATCACGCGTATTAGTTGGCTCTGTGTCTAATCAACTTCAGCTCGTGAGCTAAGAAACACGATCTTTATTACGCTATACGCGTGGCCTTTGTTATTATTTCATTTATCGGTATATCTTTCACCGGAGGATTGCTTCTTTTCGCCAAATTCGAGCTCTAAACATACCTGATACGACGTATTTATTTAACGAAAAAAAGAGAGAGAGAAACGAATTTTCTTTTGTCGAGCGCTTGTTATCCGGGGATTAATTGCTCGTAAAAGCCTTGCGCGCGCAAACGAAAAAAAAGAAAAAAAGAAAAAAAAAGACTGG